AGTTATATTATATTGTGGGCATTTAGGTAGAATATACTTAACCCCCTTTATGGCCCCTGGTCCTCTGATGTTTTGAGACGTTCTTGTCTGCTCTGCTTCCGTGTCTTGTTTAATGGACTTTTGACTCATGTATTACTATTCTTTATTTTCGTATTTTAAAACTATAATATTCTGAGATTCCTTTAAAATGTAGGTTAGACGTGACATTGTGTTTCATGATATAGCATCATTAAAATTTTATGAATAAACTGTATACTCATTTTGAGGCGAGAGATAAAAATACTAACTTAGAACTTGTTAAATTCTACTTATTAATAAAATAAATATAAAAGCAGCTAAATTTATGCGTTTACCTGAAAAATAATTGTTTATGTAAAAAAAATGAAGTGTATATGCAATATATTTATGTAAATGTTTAATTAATTAAGTACTCTAACAAATTGATTAAAACTAAAGAAAAGTTTATCATCTTGCATGCTGACAACTTAAGTCTTACTCTGCGAAACAAAATCTGAATTACGTGCAAAATTTGTCTATTTTTTTTTTTTAAATAATAATGGAATTAATAAGTATAATTCAGCCTTACATAGATTGTGTAAACAAGCAATATCATCTGTCAACAACCAACTTTTAAATTTTTTTAACATGCAAATATCATTAACAGTATTATTATTATTCTTCTTTATTGCTTAATACATACGTATTATCACAATATTATTACAAATATAATTAAGAGAAAACACAGATTGGCATGGTATGGTATCAATACATGAAAAAGCAGCGCCTAGTTTATATAATGAAGTCACTTGGTATGGCGCATCTATACATTAAATATAAAAAAAAATTGAATCACATAATAAATGTAAATAAATATACTGATATAACGATTGGACAAACAAAGAATGAATCACATCTTTTCATATTAGAATATTACTTTTCAAACGAATAATTAAGACGAAATTTAACATCTTATATGCAAAATAGAATTTATTTACATCCATTATGTTTTATCAACATCCAACAAAACTACACGTACTCATACTGATGTGCAGGTTTTCTAGAAACAGGAATATTTATGGGTGAATTTTTTTAAATGGCCTTCGTGATTTTTTTATTTTTTTAAACGTGAATCTAAAATGCAAATGCTGATCAATAACTGCTTTTGTTTCTACTTTGCCTGTTTACATTTCTTTGGTATAAAATCCCCTGAAATATGTAAAATACGTCAGGCTGCTATAACTACGGAAGCCCATTTAGGACCTATCAAAAAATATTTTGAATTCGTTATAACGATTTTTAGAATTCGTTATAACGAATTTAATTTGTTATCACAGATTTATTGAATTCGTTATAACGAATTTAATTTGTTATAACAGATTCATTGAATTCGTTATAACGAATTTAATTTGTGAAAACAGATTCATTAAATTTGTTATAACGAATAAAATTTGTTATTACAGATATATTGAATTTGTTATAACGAATTAAATCTGTTATTACAGCAAATTTGTTGAATTCGTTATAACCAAAAAAATTCGTTAAAACAAATTCTTGAATTGGTTATAACGAATTCAACAAATCTGTAATAACAGATTTAATTCATTATAACGAATTCAATATATCTGTAATAACATATTAAATTCGTTATAACAAATTAGTGAATCTGTTATAACAAATCAAATTCGTTTTAACAAATTTAATGAATCTGTTTTAACGAATTAAATTCGTTATAACGAATTCAATGAATCTGTTATAACAAATTAAATTCGTTATAACGAATTCAATAAATCTGTTATAACAAATTAAATTCGTTATGACGAATTCTAAAAATCGTTATAACGAATTCAAAAATATTTTTTGATAGGTCCTAAATGGGCTTCCGTATATAACAAACATCAGAGTGTATAAAGAATCTAAAATGTTTTTGATAATTATGTGACAGACAAAAAAACCTTTATTTCATAAATTTTACATTTTAGTAAAAGACAAAGGGGAAAAAACATTAAAAAAAAATTAAGATTCTATTAGTTTCGAAAGTTTAGAATTGTAAATAGTTTTACGTTATGTTTACAACTACAAAACTGTTGCAACAAAAATAAGACATTTGCGTGAATGAAAGATAGAGACACCAACAGTAATCAAGGTAAAATGTCCATTGAAAAAAAAACAAATAGGGAGCAGAGCAAACTCGGACTTCTAAAATATTCAAAGGTAGGATCAGGTGCCAAAAAGTAAGAACCCTCAACAAATACAGTCTATCACTTAGTCAAATGCTGACTGGCTTTTTTCGTAGTGATTGTTAGGCCATTATTTATACACTGAATTGTCGACGGATTTTTTCCATGATATTCTGATCATGACAGGGTAGCACATGGTGGGTGTGAATGATCGGCAGGGGATGCTCACTCCTCCATGATCCCGTCTCTGATGTTTTCGAAGTTCATCGTTTGCTCCGCTTCTGATCTGTATTGTCTGAATGGTCTTATGATCTTGAATACTGTTTGTTCTTTATCTCCATATACTAGTACTTCATTCTTCTTTCAACAGCTTGATTGTTAATCGCTTGTCTCAATTTAGAAATTATTTATATAGTGCATGTTTTTGTATATCGAATTAAATGGGAGAGAAAATCTCATACTTAGTATACAGGTGATCAGAGTATATTGCAATATAAATGAATGAAGTTTACAATAGAAAAGTGTAAGTCATCACGGTTATATTTTTATCACAAGGTTTTGTTATTATATTACAATTAACGTCTTTTTTCTGGTAGATTATTGAGTGAGTATTGTCATTCATTAAAAGTATATTACACATATATAGTTAAGGGGAGATAATCGGGACATTTCCTTAGTACAAAGAACAATAAAATTGGCAATAGCATCTTCTCTGTTGCAAACAATCATCAGTTGGAAAAATATTCGTCTAAATATAAGAATTTTTGAAGGAAATAAAATCACATAAGAGCTATGTACTTGAAAGGAGACTTTCTGAACAAAAGATGATCACAGGCGATTTACAATTGAAAAGGGCAGTTCTATGACTGTGTCACAATTGAGAGCTCTGTGATGTCTGTCATAACGAAATTTACCAAAAATTGACGTATTTAAAAATAGGTTTCCTTTTTCATTCCACAAAAGAATTATATACATGTATCAGTCCTCTGTTTAATTGGGTTCTGAATCAGTTCTCTTATCTATCGCCTTAAAAAGTAAAAGACATAACAATTTACAATGCAATACATATGAATGCCAGTTTTTTTTTTTTTATCTCTTATGTAGATATGTAATTGTGAGGTAAAAAGATAAAGTTCCATTCTGTAGAATTTACGTATTGATCCTTTTGCAAGATGGATAAATGTGGCATCTATGGTAAAGTTATCCCAGTTTGTCTAAGAAGAAGTTGCAGCAGGATTGCAAAAACACTCCATCCTCTATAAAATGGAGTAGAGACCTGTTTTCTTACAGAACCATCCTGACTTACAAATGAAGTGGAAAATGTAAAATTCTGTTAATATCACATAAAAAGTGTATTCTTATATATATCTTATATAAGGAAGGCGTATATCACCAAGTATTTTTTTCGGTTTTGTATATATATTTTATATAAGGAAAAAAATTTCTAAATATCAATTTCTTTTAGAAGTAAAATATATTTTTTTAACTCGCTTCATCTTCCGATCGAGTACCCGGTTATGCCTAGGTCACATTTCCCGGCCGGTATGGTAATCCGTGGTGTTAAAGCACACATCTTTTTAAAGTATCAGTCACATTATCCAGCGATGGGTATACGTTTTGTAACCAATGCATTTTAAACGCATCGCTAATCATAAAACGATGTTCCAGGATAAAATGTTTTCCATCGCTCATACATTGGTGAACATCGTTCGTACATCGGTCGACTCGGGCCAATGTTTGGTCGGTAAATTGAAAATATCTATGTTGATAAGATGTTTTAATGATGGGTTATACATTGGAGACATCGCAGGCATTTATGTAACTTTTTAAAAAATGCTTTCTCATGCTGGATATGTGATTGTAAATATCTATTATTTATCTTATTCTATACTTATCGCCTATACTTGTTATATTTACAATACACACATACGATATTTTTACGATTTTGAAATAAAGAAAATTAATTGGGAATTCGACACACAAAGACAAATACATGTCATCGTCAATCACCATTTTACACTTTTGTTTCAGCTTTTGTAATCAAGGAGAATAATTATTTACATACTCCACAATTAATAGTTAATATGTGGAGTGTCCAGTAAATCGCTGGTTTTCGAATAATTTAAGCTTAGGTGATTTAACAGATTTTGAATCAGCTGTTCTTTTGTTACAACTCCAAGCTTATTATGTCTGCGGCGGCATCTCGATAAATTATTAGATTATTAAATCATATTATACATGTATGAATTTGTAAAAGGGAAAAATACTGTGATAATGTTTTCCTTGCAAAGGGTAATTGAAAATATCTATGTATTTTATACATGCAAGTATTTATGTAATTTTACTAGTGATATGATTCAAATGCCTTTTGTGCTATAATAATTTTCAATTTTAAGGTATCCTTTTGTTATACCTTTTTATTTTTCGAGCTTTTTAAATGAGGAAAAATCACTACCGTTAGATCTATAATTTCTGAACAAGGATATAGAGTTTTTAGTTTTTCCGAGCTTTGACCATTTGTATCTTGCATGCTGTATCGGTATGGTATCAGTCACGACACTGCCACCTGCCTGATATCAAAGTGTCCACGAAACAGAAAGAAACATCGAGAATTAAATAATGGTGTACTGGATAATTCTCACATTTTTAATTACTAGTAAATTCTGTAAGTTTTTCCTTCTTTTTTATTTGGTCTTATTTTTTCCCACATACTAGTAGAAAATTATTAATTGCTATTAGTATTATTTCTATTATTATTAGTTATTTATTAAATTAGAAATTAATGCATGTATAATGTATACTGGTTTTTCTCTGTTTGCAGACATGATTTCCTCAAGCTTCTCTCGTTCCCAGAAACTCGTTTTCAGTGCAGATGATATCAAGGGATGGAGATTTTTGTCCACTGTAGGAGAAAACGAAACTTCTTTTATTTACGTGATAAATACGACAAACGTTTGTGTTGGCTCTATATGTTCCGGAGAATGTGATTTGACAATCATTCCAGAGGAAGATTTATCTCATTTGCAAAATGGAACAATAAAATGCAAGAACCGTTTACAACTGAAACAGTGTAGGATGAATGGCATTAATACTAGAATTTCTTTCAGTGTCAAAAAATCATGTAGACATCATTCTATTTACACCCAATTATTTGTAAAAGACAATAAAGATAATATTTGTGGTGATGATACACCGACTTGTTATAAAGGTATGTAGAATATTCTTTAGAATGATGCTTAACTACATATTTTATTCAATAAAATCAGTATTGTGAGTATTCTGATTGATTTTACGATGGAACTTCAATATTTTAGCTGATATGGAATTACATTAATGCATGAGAAGAATATAATAAGATTATAAATTTCTGTACTTTACTTTTCTTTGACTAGAGTTTTCTTTTACATCAAGTACGTCACAGAATCCTAAAGACAATGAAACAGATAATATGACCACAGTAGACCCCAATAGTAACCCTGTCTCTTCATCCAATAAGACTACGGTGTACCCTAGGAATGATCCTGTCTCTACATCCAATATCACCACAGTAGACATAAGGACTTATTCTGTTTCTTCATCAAATATGACCACAGTGGACCCCGGGAGTTATTCTTTCTCTACATCCAATATGACCACAGTGGACCCCGGGCGTTATTCTGTCTCTACATCAAATATGACCACAGTGGACCCCGGGCGTTATTCTGTCTCTACATCCAATATGACCACAGTGGACCCCGGGCGTTATTCTGTCTCTACATCAAATATGACCACAGTTGACATAGGGACTTATTCTGTCTCTTCATCAAATATGACCACAGTGGACCCCGGGCGTTATTCTGTCTCTACATCCAATATGACCACAGTGGACCCCTTGAGTTATACTGTCTCTAAAAACAATATGACTACTATGGGCAGTGGGAGTTCTCTAGCATCCATTATGACAACTCATTGGAACACTCTGTCGTCGACGATTATGTCATATCTATCGCTTAAAATTTTATTCTTATATTTATTTTAAGATTGCTCTACCACGAAAAAGACATGAAATATTATAATGAAACAGTAATTTTATGTCCTAACATAAATACAACAAGGACATCTCTTCGTAAAGTTTCTTTTTTTATCTCCTATGGAGCTATGGAATTGTGAGGTAAAAAGATGAACTTCCATTTTATAGTATTTTATTGATCCTATTGCAAGATTAAGGCACAGGTGGTAAACTGATCCCATTATGCCCCAGAAAAAAGAACAATAAGTTGCAGGAGGATTGCAACAGTACTTCTCCCTCTATAAAATGGAGTAGAAATCCATTTTTCTACACGACCATTCTGAAGTACAAATGAATAGGAAAATGTAAAATTTTGATATTACATGAAAAAGTGTACACTTACATATTTTTGTATATATAGGAAGGCATGGAAATAATATTTAAAAAAAAAAAGAACATAGAGTACATGTGCATCCACAAATACACCGCATTTTTATCTCTGTTTCATACAGCATCTAAGTGAAAAGTACAATAGTGAATGTATAACAACATTAGAAAAATATTTATGATCTCAGAAAATAATTTGAAGCATTTGTAATTTTTTTTTTCTTAGAAGTATAATCATCATGTTATACGTGCTGAACTAATAAAAATGTCTGATAAATCCCGTGATAATGTTTTTCATTGCCAAAAGCTTAATTGTAAATATCCATGAAATATATGGAAATAACGAACATTATTCAAGCTCAAACGCCAATAAGCAATGTAAAACAGGAGCTGAACAAAAACACCAGAGGAGGGATCGGGTACCATCAGATGTACAATATATACAATTTATATGCAAGAAAATCGCTCATAAGTAATATGATGCAAATGTTTTTTCTTCTATTATTATTTTCATATGAAGCAGATTTTGTGTAAAAACTTATGCGTGAAAAGAAGAAAACACTTGCTGTGGTCTTCAACTCGATATTTGGACACAATTTATACCGACGACGTCAATTATATTACGTCAATTAACAATGGTAATTTCCATTCTTATGTCGATACGATATATGGCTGTATTTCATTTCCGGAACTTTACGTAATTATCAAATTTTCATTTCCGACATTTTTTAGTTTTCTTTTCCGACATTTTTTAAAATTTCATTTCCCAAATTTTTCAGATAGTACCTTTATTTGCAGATTTGAAGTCTTTACCTATGAAATATTTAAAGAAATGAATCATAAATAAATCATTGAAATCCAATTTTTGCGTTCTATAAATCTTTCAATGAAGCGACTGTGAATAATAATTTTTCCTGACATTTAATAGTGCGCATAAAATATGGTGAAAAAGTTGTGTGCTCATTAAACTCTTTTACCTAGACTTAGTGCTACATGTATACATACATGTGCATAATATGTTTAGATGAATTTTTATATTTTTATCAATATTTTGCAATAAATACTTTAAAAAATCCATTTTCATTTACCTGGAAAACATTAAATTGCCGCACAGATAAATTCCGGAAATGAAAAAAAATATGTCGGAAATTAAATAAAAAAAAATGTCAGAAATGCTATGCAGATTTCTGGTAATGAAATGCAACGCGATATGTTCTAGTGAGCTTGAGATAAAAGATACCACAGAGTCTGACACATCTATTTCATATTTGGATATTTTACTTGAAAAAGACGTTAATGGTAATCTAACAACCAAGCTCTGTGATAAACACGATGACTTTAACTTTCCTGTCGTCAACTTTCCTTACTTATGCCAGCAATATACCTTCATCACCTGTATACGGCGTTTATATATCTCAGTTGATTCGATACGCAAGAGCATGCTCTAAGTATGTACATTTTCTAAAACGAGGTAAATTATTGACAAACAGGTTGATAAATCAAGAATATATCAGCTGTCTCGTTTACAGTCATCAATTCTTAAGTTCCAAGGTCGATACAATGACCTTTTCAGCGAATACAATTTATCATTAAGTCAAATGCTAGCTGACGTTTTTCATTCTAATTATTAGTACATTATTTATACACTGACTTGACGACGGATTTTTCCATTATTTCTCGATTATGACAAGGAACACACGGCGGGTGACCGGTCAGCAGGGAATGCTCACTTCTCCATGGTACCTGATCCCACCTCTGATGTTTTGGAGGTCCGTGTTTGCTCTGCTCCTATTTTGTATTGTTTGATAGACTTTTTAACTATTCGTTATCTCCATATATTTCATTTCAATAATTCAATGATTTTGTTTTCCCTTTAATTTTTCGAGCTTTTTCATTAAGGAAAATCATTATACCATTAGAGCTATAGTTTCTGAAAAGGATATAGAGTATACAGTTATCCCTAGCTTTGAATATCTATATCTTGCTGTATAGGTATGGTATCTGTCACGACACTGCCACCTGCCTGATATTAAAGCGTCCACGAAACAGAAACAAACATCGAGAATTAAATAATGGTGTGCTGGATAATTCTTACATTTCTAATGATTTTTTGTAAGTGTCTTCTTTTTTTATTTGGTCTTCATCCTTTTTTTCTAAATATGAGTTGAAAATTATTAATTACTATTAGTTATTTATAAAAATTTAAACTGATGTATGCATAATATGTGTTAGTTTTTTCTCTGTTTGCAGACATGATTTCCCCAAGCTTCTCTCGTTCTCAGAAACTCTTCTTCAGTGCAGATGATATCAAGGGAAGGGGATCTTTGTTCACTGTAGGAAAAAATGAAACTTCTTTTATTTACGTGATAAACACCTCAAACGTTTGTGTTGGCTCCATATGTTCCGGAGAATGTGATTTAACCATTGTTCCAGAAGAAAACTTATCGTATTTGCAAAACGGAACAATAAAATGCATGAACCATTTTCAACAGAGACAATGTAGGATGAATGGCAGTAGTAACATTTCATTTAGTGTTAAAAAATCCTGTAGACGTCATTCTACTTATGCACAATTAATTGTCAAAGATAATATAGGTAATATTTGTGGCGATGATGTACCGACTTGTTTTAAAGGTATGTATAACCATTTTTTCAGTGATGCTAAATTACATCTTTTGATTTAATAAAATTGGTATTCTGATTGCTTTCACGACAGAACTTTAATTTTCAGCTTATGGAATTACATTATGATAAGAATGTAATAATTCTTAATTTCTGTACTTTACTTCTCTTTGACTAGAGGTTTCTTTTACATCAAGTACGTCACAGAATCATAAAGACAATGCAACAGATTTTATGACCACAGTGGACTCCGTGAGTTATTCTGTCTCTACATCCAATATAACTACGATGGACATTGGGATTTCTCTAGCATCCATTAAGACAACTCATCGGAAGACTCTGTCGTCGACCTATACGTCAAATCAAACAGATTTATCAGAAAACCACACCGATTTTACCACACCGAATACTTGTATTATGTTATGTTTGAACCTTCAGATTAATAAGGATAATTTTGGACTTTTAAGCAATATAGTTATTATCATTTGATTCATCAAATTCTATTTTCTTTTAGCAACCCCGTCATGTTGTGAATTAAGCAAAACAATTCATCCCTCGCGAAGCAACAGAAAAATAAGTGAGTAAATTCAATTTCTAAAAGAATTAATTACATGTATGTATTTTCTGATATTCTTAAAACATGAGAATTTGATGCTGAGTTTGCTCAATAATACATGTACTAGTATTAGCATGATTTTCATTGGCTTAAAGTTAAAACACAAAAAATGACAACGTATTTATGCCACAAATATCAAAACGAGCGATATCCCTCGGTAATAAAATTATCACCCTTTATTAATATTCATTTAGCACCTATCATTTACTCTACAGGTAAGACAGATATGGACATACCTCTGGCAGTCACTGTATCTATATCTGTGTTGGTCGTGTCCGCCATGTTGTTCCTGATCGGCAGGTGCGTCACGATAAACGTCATCTGGTCACCAGCGGGGAAACTCATCTCTTGATACATACATCGTCGCTACCTTAGCTCTCTCTCTCTCTCTCTCTCTCTCTCTCTCTCTCTCTCTCTCTCTCTCTCTCACACACCCTCACACACCCTCTCACACACCCTCACCCGTACACAAACATATCTGAAAAAATATATATAAATCACGAAAAAGTAATACTTCATCAACCATATAAATTGATCTTCTACATAAATATGCCAACGAAAAGGGTTAAAGCAGAAAATCTTAAGCATTTCTTTTAACCTTTTTAATAAATGACTTTTGTAAATCTACAAAGAGATGACCTATTAGTTTCCGTCATCATAAATTTTCTTTATTTATCTATGAATCTATTGGTAATTTTCTTACTTTATCTTTTTGGTACCATTTCTTTCATCGTATATTTTGAAGTTTCTATATTTATTCCGTAGTGAATCATATTTTGTCTTTGATAACAATTTTATATAAAAAGATCAACTCCCTTATAAAACACGAGATTTAATGATTTATCAAAATACAAATTGATCTTGGTCTGAAAAACATACCATATATTTCTGTCTTTGTCATTTTGTAATAAAACATTTACATGTACAACTTTGATCACCACTAAGGTTCCATATTAATAGGACATACATTATACAGTATATGAACAAAACGAGGTTTTATGGGAGAGTCGTTGTATTTCACTTTCTCGAGGATTGATTTTAAAATCGATAGATAGCTTTTTGAAATATCGATGACATAAAACATTTTTACTCAGCAATAATATTTCTTCAAAATAAATTTAAAATAAAAGAAATTACAACTTTTCTTTTCAAAAGAAGTAAAAATATTAGCAATATATTTGTTTTAAAAAATATGTTATATTTTTTCAGATTATTGTACAAAACAAGACATGTAACAAAAACAGATCCCTCCATCGCTTCGTTTGACATTGTTAACCCAAGTGATGGGGTCCTTGAAGATCCGAGTGGATTCTTAAGGGAAACATACATCCACATTCGGAAGGTCTCGGAATCAAATACTGACGAAAGTCCTGTATCATCACCACGTGATCATAATCAGGATTCGTACCCTGAAATGGGGATGTCGGCGGTAAATTCCCGCCAACATTATGGAGAATTTTCTACATTTACTGGCAACAGGAACTCATACGAGGATTTCCCTCATAGGTACACTGCCCATAACGACAGAGGGGATATGTCGAAACCTAGAAAACAATTATAAATCACTTCCAAATTTATGAAATTGTTTTTCATAATAATGATGCATTATATATCTATTTAACGCTTTTTGTATGAAATGAATTTTTAAAAATAAAAGAGAAGAAATTTTTTTTATATATATTTTGAAAACAGAATCCATTGAACCGCTATTGAATATTGAATGTCTGGTTTTGGCAGGTTACTTTGGCGAATTTTGGTCTACAAAAGCTGTTTTTGGTAAAGTTTTTGTCAGTCAAATATATACTGAAGTCCTTTCTTTGTTCATTTTATCCACATTGTATTTATTGGTACTATTTCTAAATAAAAACATAGGGGAAAAGCATACTCAAAACATGTAACAAAAGCATAGAATTAAGTTGAATTTAAGTTCATATTTTTTTCTTTTAATAAAAGCGACAAATTATTTCTTAAAGAAGCCCATTACATTGAGGACCAATCGGAAAATATTTTCAAATTAATTTAACGTAACAAAGAAATTAACAAATTTGTTTAAACGAATTAAATTCAGTAATTTTAATCGTTAATTTAAATCATTTTTAATTCTTATAACGAATTTAATCTTAAGAACAGTTCGTTTAATTCGTTATGAAAATTAATTTAAGAAATATAATAACGATTTCTAAAACAAGGCAATGAACTGAAGACGGATTTTTCCGTTATTTCCCGATCATGACAAGGAGCACACGGCGGGTGTGACCGGTCGACAGGGGATGCTCACTACTCCATGGCACCTGATTCCACCTCTGATGTTTTGGAGGTCGGTGTTTGCTCTGCTCCTATTTTGTATTGTTTTATAGACTTTTTATCTTGAATACTGTTTGTTATCTCCAATGGATACGTTTCATTGAAAAGCAAGTGGATGAAAAAAGTCTCATTTAAGATGGTCGATATAATGACCTCTTTAGCAAACACAATTTATCATTAAGTCGAATGCTGACTGAAGTTTTCATACAAATTGTATTGTAAACGAATTGTCAACGTGTTTTTTGTTACTTCCAGTCATGAAAAGATGTACAAGCGTAAGATCGGTCGGCAAGGATTTTTACTACTCAATTGCACGTGATCCCACCTCTGACGTTTTTAGAAGTCCAATAATTGTTCTGTTGCTCTGTTTGCAATTTGCAATTTTTCAATGTTTTTTAAAGCGTTATCTTCACACATCATCTGTTAAGACTAGTTCTTGAATTTGTTTTAACAAATTTAACCAATCAGTCGAACCAAATTCAATGTGTCATGACTAATTCAATTTTTTTGTTTAAAAGTTTAAATTTGTTATCAAGAAAACAAAAAGTATTTTGAAAGGTCCCAATATGACACCTATCACACCTTAATATCAGTTAAGATGTCATAAATGCGTGTTCGGGAATGATTAAGTATTTTTACAAGTTTATTTAAAAAAGAACTATGAAGACAACAATCAGAAATCAAGCTCAAAGTCCTCTGGAGCATCAAAAACTTGGAGCAGACAAAAAAAGAGCGAAAAAAACGTCTGAGGTGAAATCAGATCCGAATGGAGGAATAAGTATTGCCTGTCAACGACTCCCCTCTGCAGTGTGCGTCTTGATATGATCGGACAAATGAGGCATACTGTTCTAATAATTTATAGGAAGAAAACGCCAGTTAAAATGCGGTTGGATGATGAAAAGTGTATTTTTTTTTATATAAATGGAAAGTTATCGATAGAAAAGTCATCAAGTTTATCATAAGGTTTTGTTGTTTGCTTACGTTTAACGTTATTTCTAGTAAAATATCGTAGTGTGAAACCAATGTTTCAGACTCTGTGGTATCGTTTCTTCAAAGATCGAATCAACTTACGAATGAAAATAAATAATGTTTTCAAAATTGATAAAACGTCGCTGATATGTATATCTAATTTGCTTGATTGTGAACTACATCACTAATTTGTAATTCTGAATAATGAAATAAAACATACTAAGTAGCATATGACATATAATTATATGAAAGATGTATAAAACAAGAAATTATATAGAGTATAAAGTACAAGTTTTTCAGCTTAGATGGTAAAGTTCTTCTCGTGAAATAATATACTATCTGTATGATGATCACGAAAAATGTCCTATCTTATATATGCAGGTGGATATATAAATGATATCAGAGTAAACATGTGATGTCATGATATAAACAATGATTGCAGTAGACAATGGAAGGTTCAGCGACGCTATGTTTGAGTTTACTGTGTATATTAATTGCAAAAGGTAACTTCAGGATGCCTTAATAGATTAGCAGAACTCAAGAAAAAAGGATGTTTTCATGTTTTTTTTTTAAATATTACGGTTTGTATGTCCCTTTTATATAGGTATGACGTGTTTTTTAACGCATGCCTTATTGAATAACTTTATGTTTATTTTTAATACCGTAGTGTATGGATCTAACGGGTGTCCAAAAAGCCAGAATATCACCACAGGAGCCTTCTACAAAAATATTTCCTGGGACACAACTTGGTCAGATTTTCAGAGCAAAAACTGTGCGTGGCAACTGAACTTGCTTGCAGTGCCTGGTACAGTGAATTTTACCATTAGGCTGGACAATCTTGTCCTTAGCAGCCACGACTCTTATGTCTATAACGTTAACGGGATAGTAAAAACAACAGTCGAGGACAAACTGCAGGTGTTTGTATGTGATGATAGACAACAAAGATTCGAGTTGCCAATGTCTGCCATAGGGAGGACTTACCAATTTAAGGGAAACACACTCTGCTTTTTTATACCACATGGGGACTATAATTATGGACAGAATATTTTTACGACGCATCGACTCATTATGACGATTGGGGTAAAATCAGCAAAACTAACAAAAGGTTTGTATATATATTTCTTCAACTATACTGAATATAATTCCTCTGTAATTTGTTTTAAGTTATTATAATTAATAAATTCCTCTTTTTGGAATAAAGCGATATAAAATTACAAAATAAGGTATTTTTGCAATTGAAGATATTCTATATTAAAAAAATAAATACATCGATTTCGTGATACATGTATAATAAATTTATTCGACTATAATATTTTAAATTTTAGAAACTATTGTTCCTGACAATCCAGAAATCAGCTTTGCTGTCTCACAAAAACCCGAAATAAGCTCTGGGAAAGGGGCGAGTTCTTTAATTGTATCTTCCACAATTCCTTTGTCCACTTCAGCAAAGACTCAAGCAGACACACAAACAATGCATCATGTACCTCTAACACTTCCTGATAATCAATCTCAGCCACATTTGACAGACACTTCCGAAACGTCACCAGCATTCTATCAACAATCCACACATTCTAAGTTCTCAACTGATCGATCAACGCGTTCTACCTTCTCAACTGACCAATCAACACACGCTAAATTCTCAACTGACCACGAGATCTTTACCACTAAAGTTTCAGCTCACTTTACCCACAACCCCGCCGTTCATTCCTCGACTCGGTTCAAGACGATAACATCACCATGGGCATTAACTATACGCACCACAGAAACAACTGTTTGGTTTGGATTCAGTACAATAACAGATAATCCTACGTTCACGTCTCCAACTTATGGAACCACCTCTGGTGAAAATAATCATTCCTTTGAAGATGAGAAAAAAAATGATTATTACTTTAAAAAAAATATTGATATTTAGTTCTAAAATAAATGAAATATTTTAGACTGATGTATTGATAGTTTACTTTTAGAACAGAGCACGCACATTTATCTGTTGGTCGGTCTGGTCTCCGGAGCTGGTCTCATTCTACTGATTGTTATGTCCGTGTAAGTATTGGCTTACAGTGAATTTCATAGAAGTTGTATGGAATAAGGTTTGGTAAATTTTTAATCATGTTTTACAAACAATATTTGATTCTTTTTCATTCTAGTGTCATATGCAAAGTAAGAGGTCTGCATCGTGATTCAGACACAGATGTATACAGTGTGGATTATGGACAGCCCTGGTCATGGCGGAAAAACTGGGTCATCAAGCGAACATTCAACGAAATCGAGGCTGAGAAAATGAAGGCTGATTTACAAATAAAACCAAGTTTACCCTACCGACCTTCCATTAAAAGACATATTTCCCTTTCCCGCCAAAACACGGATTCTTCGCGTTATAGTTATGACGAAGAGGACGTTTATGACAATGTTGTCGCTATGTCAACACAGGAGATTATTAATACATTGGAAAAACCGGAAACAAGCTCGAAGCAAAATTCTTGTGTTTCCACTGATAATAAGAATTCATTCAATAATATGAAAATGTATTCTAAAATCAATAAAATGTGATAGAACGCAATTTCCAAAAACAAATTGCTGAGAACAAAGTAGATTTGTATTGAAATACAAATATCAGTTTACGCGTTGTATTTAGTGCATTTGCTCTGTGAAATTGATCATGAAGTACAGTAATTTTGTTGGCCTATTCTACTTTTAAATCTGAAAATGTAGTTTTTGTAATGATTGTAAACATATCTTTATAAAAAGTCTGCATGATTTGCACACCGATTCCTTATACAAAAGTGAAAAAAAAATAGAGATATCTCCCAACTTCAAGAGATATCTCTTATTTTTAAGAGATATCTCTTTGAGAAAGAGATATCTCTTAAACTAAGAGAGATATCTCTTATACTTAGAGATATCTCTTTTGATAAGAGAGACATCTCTTCCAATTGAACAGATATCTCTTTCTCCTTGAGAGATATCTCTTTCATGAAAAGAGAGATAGCTCTTTTACTTTTGGAGATATCTTTCCAAGTTAAAGAGATATCTCTCTTGGTTTATCTTAAGAGATAGCTCTTAAAGTGAAAGAGATATCTCCCAAAAGTGTATAAAAGAGATATCTCTCGTGCAAAAAGAGATATCTCTTTATTGCAAAGAGATATCTCTCTTCATTATTTTTATTTAAATTCTATATTTAAAATGACTTATCCCTTGCCGGAAGTAAGCTTTTTATTCACGGAAGTACTTTAAAGTATTTTTAGATTTCGACATATTCCTGATGTTCAACATTAATTAAAGCTCTACTAAACATGACAAGTAATTCAGTGTTTTCTAGATTTCATATTTGTAATTATAGTTGATTATTTTAAGCTGAGAAAATTCGGTCCATTACAAGTGAGATTATATGAATGTGCTTACTTTCGTTTCCCTGAAGATTAAACTTTTAGCATTTGATCAACAAAGTTGCCATTATCATTTGTTGTTTCAAACAAGGGATTTATAACATTTTTGTCTACATAATACATACTAAATATATTATTCTGGGTATTGCATGCACAGTCTAGTTTTTTTCTTATAACAACAAAACTATTCTGGACAGAGACTTTACTTCGATCCTGTTTCGCTTTCGTTTTAAAGTGGAGAATTGATTATTTTATTTTTTGACTTTTTGGGAATTTGACGATTGAAATGTTACAGTCATCACATTTATCATAAAGCTTGGTTGCTGGGTTACCATGAACGTCTTTTTCTAGTAAGATGATAAGTATTCAAATATGAAACAGGTGTGTCAGACTCGGTGGTACCTTTTACTTTGTATTTCAGTATCGTATCTACATAAGGATGCACCAGTAACTAGTAACTGATGTGTCGTCGTTACATCTAAATGTATAGAGTTGAATGCCACAACAAGTGCATGCATATGCATTCTTCTTCTCGTGTATAAAATTTTTAATACCTTCTGCTTTATATAAATACAAAACAGGTCTGCTAATGACGGGCGCAATTGGTACCTATGGGAATTCTAACAAATTGTAGGAAAACCTGGTCTTCAAAATACACATAGATATGTTCAATCGGAAACTCATGCATCTTTAATATCAACTTCAGAGTACCTGTGTGCATAATTAGAAAGTTTCATTAAAAAAGCAATTTGGCAAATGACCAATGACAAGGTAAGTAAAATTACCAATTCTAAATTTATTGAAAAAGCAGCTGTCAATGATGCAACAAGTGTGGACTAATTAATTTATGGGGAATTATTGTATATGGATTAGAAAAGTTGTAAAATTTATGTTATTGATTTTGGTAAAATTTTGAAATTTTATATAATTTTCGAAAATTTCTTTGGAATTTTTAAACATCCACACCTGATTTAATAACACTTCTCGCATATATTGTAACATAGTATTCCAGAGGTTTCCCATCCACTGCTGTTAATATATTAGTGCATAGTAAAGAAAAAGCCTGATAGAACATTTATTGTACTCTATCTCTGTTTTAAGAATTTTTATGAAGTTTCAGAATCCAGTATAGATATGGCAACTGGAATTCATTTTGGTTGTTTGGAATATTTAAAAAGATTTACAACTGCAGATTTTTGAATTTTAAACCACGTGAGAGAGAGAGAGAGAGAGAGAGAGAGAGAGAGAGAGAGTACGCAAAGACCTGAAGCCTTCAGCAAGACCTAATTTTTCATATTAATGTTTTTGTCTCATTTTAATGTTTGTTTTTGCAGAAAGTCATTGAGGAAATGTCAAGGAGTTATCTATTTTTCACATCTTTCAGCATTAATTAATGCTAAAAGTACTTATACATAAAATGTTCTACATGTGGAATTTTCTTACTCATGTTTCGGAATGTCTCTGTCGTGTATAGCACCTGATCAATTAATTTTAGTTGACTTTCAAAACAACTTGCTCTTTAATACCGATAATACATGCAGAGTAACCTGCAATTATTAAGTGACGAATCTTTGTACGTAGGTGCATTTGACGCAAGGTCGTCATTCACGCATGTCGATGTACCGTGTTTTGATAAACAAATAATTGTAAAATGTATCAGATGTTATTCTTAGACTAAATTAAACATTCTAAAACTAAAATAAAAAAAGATGGAAATTTTTCCTCGTTTTTAAAAATAATAAATTTGGAGAGATAACTGAAATGCAAATTACAGAAGGAGTTGTTTGTTCACGACGTGTATGCAGGAATTTTTTTTTCTTGATTGAGGTGGAAGAATTTTCACCAAGTCCGAAAGAACCTTGCATTGAAGCATGCACACGCACAATGCATGCGGATATCGTAAACATGGTAAACAGGGTGTTTCGGGTGCGTTCTGTTTTGTGCTTCCACCCCCGCTGTAACCCGATGTACCCTCATTTTGTTTATCCAACTGACAGTAATTATAACTTAATGCTTTCTCCATTCCGGTCGACTGATAATTCAGTCAGTAAAACCTACGCAATCATAAAAGCTTTCAAGATCAAATTATTTCAGTCTTAGTTAACAAAAGTTTGTATTTATTCAGCAATTAAAGTACTCCTACAATTTATTTAGATTTATATACGCCTTGATATTACACATAACAAAGTTCCTGGCAGCTTCTCAAAATAGGTGCCAAGGCGATATTTATAAACAGGAAAATAATAATTTCCAGTGAAAATTGTTCATAATCCCGCTTATTGTGGCGCAACCTTACATGGACATAACAAAACACACACTGTATTTACACATTTAACCCCCCCCCCAACCAACTCTTAAAAAATGCCTAGTTGTGGTTGGAAAAAGTCGTTCAAAGTGGTTTTAATTAAATCTTTGCCACCCGAGTTTTTTTTCCCTTAGTGGAGGCGGTATAGCTCTAACTTGTAGACTGTAGTCTATCTGTCTTCCTTTTCATATCTCTATATCTTAGTCTTTTATATTTCACTCTTAAGAGACACACACAGAGCTATTAAAAAAATTAATACTGTACTTCAAATATTTAATGTGCATACCGATTTTATCTTAGATCATTACGGGACGCATTATTTTTAAAAGAAAGAGTTTTAAGAGTAATCTTCATCAATACCATAATAATCTCATTCGGTGAACTTTGAATCAAAATCTTGCTAATTGAATACGTGTATTTGACTCCATAAAAGGAATATTGTAATTGCCTTACTGGACATTAAATAAAACTTTAAAAGATAAAGAAAAGATTTTCCTTGATGGGAAATAAAAAATTTTAAATCGTTCTCCACCACAACACTAGATGTCTTTTGATTTTACGAGACAATTAAACATTCAGGTTGATTTTGTCCAGAGCCTTGTAACAAGTCAATGCAAAACTGCACAAAATTTATTTGAATAGCTACTGCTGCAACTATTCCTAAAACCTTTTCACTTTCTTTCTGGCCAGGAGGAAAAAATACCGTAGTTTCAAATTAAATCGAGGTATATTTATATCAACTAAGTCAACTTCTCTGTAGCTAGATTTTCTAACGCAACGAAATTTGTCCAAGCTTCGCCTCTCAAATAGATCTGCAATAGGTAAAATGGCAGGCAAAGGTTACATACTTTTCCGGATGAACCCCTGCTCCCATAGAATATTCCTAATTTTTTGTTCAATTAAATGCAAATCAATATATATTTTGCAAAGAATCCAACAATGCATGCGTGTGTAACATGAGAAACGATAACAGTCCCCTCTACAATATATTGTCTTTTTTCTATAACCATCAAATACAACCCTCCCTATTTTCCAGTTTTAAAGAATTTGATATTTGGTATCTACAACCCAAAGGGTTAATAGAAATAATCTTCAAAAGTCGTCGCTAGGCCCACACGGAATAAATCAGGGATTGGTCAATTGAATGTGAATATTCCGGGGGTGGATCTAGTCTCTGCACAATATCTAACACGTATGTGTTTTTAACGATTTCTACATTGTAATACCAAGCCCATAGCAACGGTTTTCAAAGGGGGACCTCCTGGCTACGGAAAAAAAGGTTAAAAAGGAAAAAAAATAACGGTCCGAACTCCTAAACTAATCTAATATCACATCCTTTTGGCATGGAAAGAGGGGGCAATGGGAGAGGGATTTGACTAATTTTTCCGTGTATTTTTTCTTTCTGAATTTAATTGCTGAAATTTGCTGAAATGTCTGTCTAAACAGCGACAAAATGTGAAGGGGCGCAGATAGTATCCAAATCAACATTTACGTAAAACTACAGCAAAAGCTATTCTCAGAAAAGTAGCCTCCCACCATGACTGACTTGTAAAATTTCAAGTCAAATTACTGTAGAATAAATTTAGAAAATAATCACCATGTCTATTTTTATCAGCTAACAATAATAAAAACATTCTAATAAAGGAAAAAGCATTTTAAAACATGCTTATTCATGAAGTAAAATTTCTATCATAATTAAACAGAAATTATATAACTAGTTTTCCCATTCAGTGACTCTGTAATGTACTTACAATGATTTATGATGTTTTCAAAGAAAAACATGAGTATTGTGTGGTTTAATGTTTGAATCAAAATAAAATCCTTGAAAAAGGAATTTGACATACATGTAGTTCATTTTCTGTACCAAATAATGACAAAATGCAGTCAACCATCAATGAATATTTTTAACATAATTTTATTAACATTTAAATTTTTAAAGTTATTCACTTGCCAAAACATATGATTTTTTATGCATAATAATTACTGGAGACGATTTATCACAAAGCCTGCACACTCACTAACTTTCTTTGGGTCAAGGCGGGTCTGCATTGGAATAATTAGATTCTGTATTTCTAGAGATTTGGCTAGTTCTTTAGTGTCTTTGTCATTAGAAATCAATGTCCCTAAACAGACAAGGAGTCTGAACTCTGCCTCTGGGTCCATCGGATTCTCCATTACGCTAGCCACGGCCAGTAAACACTGCGACTTTCCTTCTTCATCGTCCTGATCCTGTAGACTCACAGAGTAATTCAGTAATAACGTACTGACACCGATCTGAACATTTTTGTTGGGGCTCAGTCTACAGTTGAGAGCCTGGGTTATTATCGGGTCTCTGTTTAACAACAGGAACTTCCGTCCACTCTCATGAAGAAAACAGTTCACTAGAATCCTGAGGGTCAACATCTGGGTGGGGACGGGGGAGCTGGGGTCAAGGAATCGCAGCAGGCTGTCCAAAAAGCCCCCCTGAGAACAGACGTGCTCGCACACCTTCTGGTCTCTGACGCTCACCCTGAGTACATCCAACCCCGGGAAAATGTACTCTGGAAAAATATATAAAAAACGTTCTGTATATACATTAAAATTTGCATCAAGGCAATAAACAGCTGCATCATGTGCATAAAGTAAGTTGTGAAGTCTAGCCATTATGTAAAATATCCCTGGATAAGAATACTATCTATAAATCAGTCTTGTAAATTGTGTCAATATAAAAACGCTAAAGCAGAGTTCATTTCTTTTGTGCAAAACAGAAAATCTAAACAGTCCAACTCTCAAAAGAGTAACTTAATCAGTATCAAAAAGTTTGAACAAATTATGGTTAATATTTATATCATAATATGATATATAACATATCCTTAACCTTAGCCATAACATTTGAATGTATGGATCTAGGACTTTAATATTTCACATGACTTGTATATTTCTTAATTTAAAATAATTTTTTCTGAATAAATTTATCACATTCATTCAAAACCAGACAACCCCAGAGCATAAAAAAATTACATTTGATACATTTCCTAGTGTTCAAAACAATTCTGATTGAAGAAAACAAATGGGTGGAAAAAATATAATAAATCCATACTTAAAACTTCAAATGGAATGAATTCATTACACTGGATAACATACCATATTCTTATCCTTATTCTTGGCCACAATGTTTGAATAGTTGGTTTTAAGACTTCATAATTCACAAGTATATTTCTTATTAAGAAAGCTTTCTTTGCATACTATTTTTTTTTCATAAATATATATACCAGCATATTGTAAAACCCAAGATAAATATGGAAAAGATTTTAATATAATTAACCTATTTTCATTATATAAAATGAGACCCTAACACTTTCGGCCATGTAATATTTTGCTTTGGTTTATAAATTATGTAAATCAGCTTATCACATTTCCCAATAATAAATTCAAAATGTATGTATGATAAGGAGCAGAGTTTTACATATCATTACCCTACTTAATTTTTGCAAGAAATATTATTCACTTCATAAAAAAAATACACATAATGAATATGTATCTAAAGATTATGAAACAGCTTTATACATATATAAATTTCAAGGTTATAAAACAAATTACTTTTTTTGGTTAGCAGTGAAAATGGATTTTCAAAGAATTAAAGCATTTTCACTATATGATCAATAGAGCCCCGCCCTAACACCAGAACCCCTGTTCCTGGGGCCATAAAATTCACAATTTTGGAAGAGGCACTCTTGCTCATCATAACTATGTACTTAGTTAGTTCACTTAATACCCAGGGCCAGAGAAGAAGATTTTCAAAGAATCAATGCATTTTCACTATATAATCTATAAAACCCTGCCCTAGCACTAGAACCCCTGACCCTGGGGCCATGAATTTCACAATTTTGGTAGAGGACTCAATGCTCATTACATTCATGCCAACAGTTTGCCTGCTTGATGTCCAAGTAAAGAAAAGATTTTTAAAGATTGCAATATTTTATGTGGTTTTGGCCCCGTTAAGATTTGTATCAAGGACCATAAAATTCAAAATATTTTATTTCAATAGATGCTGTATACCAAATTTGGTTGAAATTGGTTCAGTGGTTTCAGAGAAGAAGCTGAAAATGTTCAAATGTTAACACATGACACACGACGCACGATGACGGACGAAAACGGATAGCAATAGGTCACCTGAGTTACTCAGGTGACCTAAAAATATATAAATATTTGCAGCTGTCATTTTCAGCAATACTCAACAAAATCAGAAGCTGCTATTTATAATTTTTTTCTGATAAATTAAAAGATTCCAAAAATACAAATATTTTTTAGAGACCAAATGAACATGCGCTGTTAAATGAAACCTCTAAACATAATATGAGACCCAGTTTTCAGTTACCTGTATGTAATATTTTGCTATGGTTTATAAATTATGTAATTCACCTATAGCTATGGCCACATTCTCCAATTATAAATTCACAGTGTATGTATGATCAGGAGCAGAGTTATACATTTCATTAACTTAATTTTTGGAAGAAATATTACTCACTTAATAAAAATTTTTACATATAATGCATGTGCATCTTAAGGTTATGAAATGACTTTATACATATACAATTTTCAAGGTTAATTAAAACAAATTTCATTTTTGGTTAGCAGTGAAAATGGATTGATGATTCTCTAGTTTTTGCCCTTTTGGGTTCTTTTCACAGTTTTTGGAATTTCTTTATTCCTGCAAAGGCATAAATAGTGTTTATATAATAAAAAAGTACCTTTTTTCTATTTTTTGGCTGTTCAAGCATGTTTTTAAGGTCTGTATGTGTAATGAACTGTGGTAGTTTTTGTCAATTGAAGGATTTTTTGCTGTGTATTATTGAAAAGGGACCCTTCTTTATAACAATAGTGATAGTATTACTTATCAAATTTTTAAATTATGGATGGATATGTCTCTTCAAAATATAAAACGTTAAATGAATATTCATTCTGTTTGAATAAATAAAGTGTTTACAACCAAATCTGGAAGTATGATGTTAACTCTTTGGTGATATTCAAAGGGAAGAAACTCAGAAATGACGAAATGAAAATATATAGGAAAAGAAAATCCTGGATTTATTGTGACATCTGCTGAAGATGTCTATCAAAATCAATAAGTAGAATATACCAATTAAGCATTTTAAGGTCAAGATCTAGTAAATGAAAGGAGCCTACAGATTTATCAAACTTGAGAAATAAATTCCTTTATCGATGCTTTACAACTTTAGCTTGGTCAAATAAGGTTTTTCAGGGCAATTCAGGGTTCTCCACAAGGGGTTTTACCATGGAGGTGCACCATGGTTAAATTTGTGTGCGCCATGGTTAAATCTGCTGCGCCATGGTTAAAATCTGCGTCCGCCATGGTTAAATTTTAGAATTTAAAACTTGCATTTTCAGAGATGACACCTGCAATATACTAGATGAGTAGTTAATTGTGTTTATACAACGTGGTGTGAAGCCCCCCAAGCGCACGGGGACAGGTAATAGTGCTAATTACCCACGGTCGATCAGCTGCGAATGTGCCGTGAAGCGTGAAAATTTGAATTGAAGGTCGGACCAGCTGTTTTAACAGTATGAGTAGTTATCTACTATATAAACTACTTTTTACGGGGCTCTGTATTTTTGTATTACACGTTATTTTGTTGAATTTTAACTGTGTTCAGTTCACTACATAATAATTAAAAGATTTACAAGAATTCAAAGACATAAACGATGTCTCGTAGTAGAACGCAAAGGGCAGTCGAAACTAAATAGTTTTTTTAACGTCGGCAATCTTGATGATATTAGCCCAAAAATACTCTGTAAAAAAATTCATCTTCCTCTGTATTTAATCAATTTAATAAAGCTTTAACTTTATTATCGTTTTCGATAAAATGTGCATAGGACCTAAGTGTCAATCGCCGTCTTATTTTTAGAGTAACTGTTACTTCCCGTTGTTATGAGACGTTGCGTGGCGCTATTTTTAGCACTGGGACACGTGGAGAAGTCAACAAAACTTGGTGAAAAACGCATCCAATTGTTCCTTTGTGTGTTTACTTAAAAAAAAATACTACCCATTCATCATTTTTATATTTAAAAAAACATTTCATACAATAGGCTACAACAATTCTTACAATTATTAATTTCTGAATAATATTGCCCTGGTTAATGTAACAACAATTTATTTAATTCCTTCAGAAGATTACTACAGTTTTGGGCAAATTCTGGTACATTTGTGAGGTAAAATACAGGATAAATCCTTTTCAATTTTAATTCTTATTTTTTTTTTTTTAACTTTAAACAGTTAGTTATTCCATTGTTTTGTGTTGCAGTGGTAAAGTTTACAAATTGTAAAACCAGTCATTGATTAATGAAGATTAGGAAGTCTAACGCGCATTCGTGTTTTCGGTCACATTTTCTTCACGCAGCTTCCTCCATGGTTAAATTTTCAAATGTGGAGAACCCTGGGCATAATTTGTAGGTAAACAAAATGAAAAACTGTATTTTAAACTGTCATTTTCAATGAAAAATTAAGAAAACCAGTCATGAATATGGGAGTTTTTTCGGTTCGGCAAAGGAAATGTATTATGATTGCCTATTTCAAAAAATGGTAATTAGTATGTTCATGGCCTCTTCTTTAAATCAATATCAAATTTAATATAGGTATCCGGTTTACTTTTCATTTGATTTCAAATTAAATGACATGAAAATACCTCATTTTCTACATAATTCTGCTAAAGCCGTAAAGTACGGGAAAAAGAAAGTTGAAATTGATTATGACGTCATAATGGATCTAGCACCAAAAAATTAGTCTCAAGTTATTTACTAGTTCTTGACCTTAAGAAATTGTGCACCCCCTCCAAAAAATCCCCACACTGTTATATATCTGCTATTGATGTGTACTCCTTCAACAGTAAATGAAAATACTACCATTACCATAACCAGTCCCATACTAAATTAATAAATGATATAGACAATATAAACATGTACTAGTACTCAGATGTATTTTTCAGCAATGCTATTTACTTTTCCATTTAAAAAAAATGTATTTGGTCTTAAATCAGGGGTCTGTGAATATACAGGTACCTGGTACATATAGTATACAGAAATACAATGATCCATATAATAACCATTTCAGTAAGTTACATTTCATTTTATTGTGATTGGTCCTATCTATGATTAGATAAATATAAGTGTGGGAGGTAAATTAATTTTGAGGGAAGTGGAAACAATAACGATCACCTTAAACATGCCCACTTTGAACATACACACACAAATTCTTTACAGATCATACCCACTTCAAACACACACATTTAATTTTTGAATAAATCTTTGTATGTCTGAATACATCTTACTTCAATTTTAGAGGAAGGGTTTACTTATCAATGGTATTCTGTATTCTAGTGAACATTAAGATTATCTTTAGAAAAGAATACCTTTAGGCCACTGCAAGACTTTGTTAATGACACCCACATGTGCTTCTGTCACATTTTTGGCCTCCATTAATGTCTGCAGGGAATTAAGGTCATCAGAACTTAGCTGGTTCTCTGCTCCAACCTTGTCATTGAACTCCTTAAGCTTGTCTAAAATAATTAAATATGGTTCTAATTTCTATAAAATTAGCCTTTAATACAACTTATAAGAAAGTAATTTTATCATTGTTCATTTTGATTAAAGCATATTAAGAAGAGATTAAGAAACAGATGTTACAGGAGAGTACATACTAATTATCTGAACATGGTTGGCCGTTTCAAAGGTAACGTAGGTCTTCTGGGGGAAGTAATTATTACTGGCCAAGTTAACCTGAACATTCTGTGGTCTATAACTTCCTGCTCCTAAGGAAAAATGGGTGTTCAAATGAAATACATGTCTTCTGTAAATTGTACTAAATAATGTCAAAAACAGATCATTGGAAATGACAATTAAACTTTGTCATTATTATATGCAGCAACAAATGCATAATTTAGTTTGAATGATGAAAGAATAAGCAAAAATTTACTCAGGACAAGACTTAATTACCAGTGAATGGATCAGCGCCTGAGATCTGAGGTTGTGGTGTCTGCCCCCCTGGGATGTATCGACCCCCTCCCGTGAAGGGGTCAGTCCCCGAGGCTGGGGCGGAGTTGACACTGGACTGGGAGCCAGGAACATGTCTGCTTCCTCCTAGACACACAAAAAGATAAAAGATAAAATTATTAACACAGATAAACCTGATGTTTGTAGAGGAGAATTTATCAGATTAAAAGCACACTAATTTAGCAGTCCATTATGCATGTGTTACGTTTATACATACACAAGCAAAATCTCCTCCAAAAATATTTACTATCACATAAAGAATGCGTAAGTTTTAACCACTTAACCTTTTATGACATAAAATAGTATAACCTATCCTAAGTTGAATGTTACATCAAATGCTGCTTTTTTCAAGGCTAAGTAACAGACCATAACTACTGACCTGTAAATGGGTCTACATATCCTGAGGTCTCTTGTCCCAACGTGACCCCTTTTGTGTTTTCTATGATGAAGTTGGCAACTTGATCGAGGAATAACTGACTCAGACTATTCTTCTCCAAAAATCTCTGGGCAGCAAACCACGGGTCCTCTGTGACATTAAAGGGGAGCTTAAGAGGGGGCTTCCCATCCTCAATATCCACACTGAACACATAGTCATACTCCTGAAGGACAAAATTAAAAACCTTTGCATTACTTCAATACAAGAGACAGACATATTGCTGAGATTCCAAAACTTAAAAACAATCAGAATGAAGGTTAAATGAAACATACAGTAGCTCTACATTCAGTGATAATCCGATTGTATTGTTGATAATAATTTCCGTCATGGAATATTCCAAGCTGATGTTCAGTAAAACTCTTTTCGTTCAATATGAAGTCTGCAGTAAATGTAACAGATTTTCCCAAGAGCTTCCCTCCCCCTGGTACCCCTTACCTTTCCTTCATAGAGAGTCTTCCCTGAACTCTGCTGAGTCCCCCCACTAGAGCCCACCACATCTCCAACCTTTGTCCACTCTTGTTTAGCCATGTCCCACTGATGAAGCTCAGCACTGGGACCTCTTCTGATGATCTTTTGTTGTCCCTCTTTGGTACCTTCAAAAATAATGCACAAATCATCATAAACATTTCAAAATAACTTCACAAGCAGCCATGAACATTCAAAACTAGCACTCTCAAGGCCTGTACTGAGTAGTGAAATTCAGCATTTGTTTACAAGTGTTTGGATCAGAGTTGAGTTTACCTGGATTGAGTAAAACTTCAGGTCCTGGTAAGTCCTCTAGTTTTACGTCCCCCAGCTGCTTGGGCACTGCCGTGGCTGCCACCTGCTCCACAAATGACTTTTGTTCATCCTCAGGTGCCATTCTTTCTGGCTGTGTAGTAAACACCCTAATTACACCATCACTGTTATAAAACAAAGCATTTTATCATCAATAAGTTCCAATTATTTCTATTACTGTATTAGTATAAACTTTCAGATTTATAGTATTTCATATTTTTCCTATCAATATGGGTACATAACTTGCAATTCTCATTCCTACTTATACTTAACATACAGTATAAGTGGAAATTTTAGCAAGACGCAAATTCAGCGATTTGTCCTTAAAAACTGGTAATTTATATTTAGGGAGAGGTTAATTTAGCAATTTTAAAATGCATATTAAAGCAGCTATTAGAAATAAAACACAATTAATTTTTAGCGGTATTCAATCTCAGCACCCTCGCTAATAATGCCAAAATTAAATCTTCGCTAAAAATTCTACTTATACAGTATAATAAAGTTTGAAAAGGAGGAAATGTACAAATGCCTTGAAACCTCAAAACCTTACCTGGCACAGCAAAAAGTAGAAACACATGCACAATATTAACACATGTACTGTATACAGGGAAATTTTCGCCCCCGTTTTATTGCTGCCCCTTCCGCCTCATCTGGGCGAATTCAAAGAATACAGCACAATTACTTTAATAAAACTATGACTGGGCGAATTTAAAACAGGGCAAAATTGTCTGCAAGTGTGAAAGGGCAAAAATAACCCTGTATACAGTAGTTTACCACTGGTAATTACCTTGCTCCTGAGACAATGTCCCCATTGCCCGGGAGGACACAGACCGCCCACACAGACTGGGCTGGGTGGGCGATGGTCTGTACACACTTCCCGTCCCTCCAGACCCTCAGCGTGCGGTCCTCACTGCCACTGATAAAGTCCTGCCCGTTAGGTAACACGGCGATACTGTAGACAAAGTTCTCATGGCCGTAACAAATCTGTAGACAGTCTCCTGACATTGACCATCGGCGAATCGTAGCATCGTTGGCACAAGATAAAAACTCGTTCATATTTAGTACAGCTATCCCTCTGACACAATCTTCATGCCCTGGCAAGACACTAGTATATTACTCAAAGGATAGCAAACAACCTTTGTCCTTAAATATGTAAGATGAACAAAAGAGAACAATAAAGAATATATAGACAGATGTGTTTTAAAATATTTTAATGAAGGTAATTTTGAATATTTAGTTTGGAAAAGTGATTTCTTCCAAAAACACATGCATAATAGGATTAATACAAGATGGTAAATCAACATGAAAACATATAAATTAATATTAATATTAATATCTACGTAGGTATTTAAACCTACCCAAAGTAGCTATTTTTACCTACTTTATGCTTTACTTGCATTTTGTGGCCGAACGGCGCAATATGGTGAGTACCAAATTTCTTGATACAGTCAAACTGATGATGGATATGACAAAACTTCGACCAAAAAATGCTTACTCCGTAAATTTACAATTTTGCATAGAAACTAATTTACAATTGATGATTTTAGAAGTAATCATTTTTTGGCCAACATTTCGTCATATTCATCATTAGTGTGACTGTATCAAAATATATGGTATTCACCATACTGCGCCATTCGGTGGCCACGAAATGCAGATAATATAAAAAGTAGGTAAAAATAGCTACTTTAAGTAGGTTTAAATACCTACGTATATATTAATAGCTACATAAGTAGAAATAGTCTTTGGACTGGACCTGTTCTATGCAACATTCTAAGCATTAAATTTCGTGTACCTGTAAAAGTGTTTTCACACTTTCCAGCCTTCCACAGCTTAATGGTTTTATCAGCTGATCCAGTTAACATGTAGCCCTGCTCTGGTACAATACCCACAGCCCATACTGCTGCCTGGTGTCCTTAATAAATCACAGAGTCATAAACTAATGGTTAGAACAGTTCATACAGACAAACACACAAGGATAAAGCAGTGCATCCCCTCTCTTTTGGATTGGGGGGGAGGGGTTATAAATACTATCTTGCAATGTTTCATTTTCAAATTAGTGACAGACATACCTTTCAGAGTCATGACACACTTCTTATTTAACCAGACTCTGGCAGTTTTATCCCAGGATCCACTGATAAGAGTTCCAAACTTTCCTGCAGCCAGAGTACAAACTGAAATAGAACATGGTTTAATGGAAATAGCATGTCTTTGTGAAAATTTGCACATGGAGGCATATTTCATTTATAAAGAATTAAAGGTCTCTAGCATACATATTCATGTATATACATACTGTATATGTATATGCTAAAAATGTTTATAAAAAATTAATTCATGGTAAATACAACAAGTAAAGGTTAATGTTAACAATGTAAATCCTTTGATATTTTATAATTTCCATGTTTTACTTTATACATCTACATGTATGTAAGCAGTGATACCTGTGCCTTCATGGCCTGTGAGTTTGAAGACTGGTTCTGTAGAGTTTGGTGTGTAACCGAGAATGGTATGGTCGTTACTTCCCGTCACCAGTAGACCCTGTTCATAGTCCGAGTCTGGGGGCATGACACACACCGCAGACACAAAATTACTGTGTCCTCTCAGCAAATGACCCTCGTGAAAATCTGGGTCCATTCTAGCAGGAAAGAAATATCAGTTAAGAAACAGATATAAATTGGCAAAAATTTAGTTCTTTGCATTTAATTTGCTAAATTATAAGCACGAGCATTGTTAAAGGAATAAAATCTCAAATTTTTATAAACTGATAAATTTTTTACTTAACAATCACATTGAATGACACTAATCTGACACTGCAGAAATTCATGTATATCAGTACACACTCTAAGGCCAAATAAAATTAATCTTTAGATTCTCATCCTAATTTGCTAAAAAATTGGAGCAGGTGGGCGGATTTTATTTTTTATTTTTCATAATTGAAAGTATCAACAAAACAATTGGACTCTTCGTACACATTTTTTTTATTACGTAAATGCTAATATGAATAGATAATATTGTTTTCATATTCTTTTCAATATCTACAGATGGTTCTTGTTTTAAAAAATTAAAATATTAAATATTTATAGTTTAATTCAAAATCATCAAGTACACATATACGGCACACGCAAAACAAAATGAGGTGCAAACACTAATAAATTGTGCATGCATGACTTCTCAACACCTCAATTATCTTTAAGTTCTACCAACAAATCCTTCTGTTTTGTGTAAAATATCACAGATTTCCACTTTCCTCACAGATTCGATCGTTCTTGAGACTTGTAATGTTCGACATTAAAATACATGTAGGTCATCAGTGTTAATTTGCAAAATCTATAAAATTTCCTACTGAAAAGCCTAGGCCTGAATAGTTATAAGATTTAACATTTCCTCAGCACTAATATTTTCTAAAGTCTGCTGACAATGTTTTATCATTATTTTTTTAATACAAAATCACATACAGCTGGAGATTGGTAAAACTTGTCATTTAATTTCCTCGTCTATTTTTACATACCAGTAGTTAAAATCTCTCTAAAACTTGCTCATGCTAGTGATGATATCTAGATGTGTTTATGCTATTTTTTCTTCTCTGCCTTCTCTATACTGAATAGTTATCTTTTCCTTACATATTTAAACTGCTTTTATTGTCATTTTTTTCCATTCTTCACATGGCTCTTTTGGTATAAATAGCGACACACGACTTTTAATACAGACAGGAGATAACTCTTAAACTTTCATCCAAATTCTTGCTGAATAAAAAGTACATGAAAATTCTTTTAGCACTCAAAAATCAAAATAAAAATCACCAGGGTGGGACACTTGAGAGGGGCGGGCGGGGATGAGAATCTAAAGATTAATTTTATTTGGCCTAATATAGCTGAAAATAACTGCTACATGATAATTGATTCAATAAGCATTCAAACAAGTCCAGCACAATCTCTTGATTAAGCTATATAGCTTTAAAAAGTTATATACCTTTATTAAGCTATTCAAAATAGCTTGATAAAGTATTTATATGCCGTTTTTCATAAAAACGTTAGAAATAAACAAAAAGTCGCAAGTATTTAACTATTCATATGTATACTATGGAATATCAAAAATACAACCTAAATCATAAAAAGTTCTAACATTGCTGCTGTGGAATACTTTTAAGCAGAGTATGAATTTCCAGTGTTTGATTAATTATCCACTACTTTGGGTGCGGTGAGGCATGGATAAGTATGATTGCTTCTCATTGTGCTGAACTGTTACCAATCAATTATCCTGTTGGCCATAACTGGCCTCCTTTATAATTTCATTCAAGATATAACTGTGTTGTCACTCATCAATAGCCCCAAATCTTAAGAAACTTTGAGTACAAAGTCTCTCAAGGAGACGCAATTTGGCGAGTGATTTTTACATGCATTGTATTCAGAAGAATTTAAAGTTTAATATTTCCACTGCACCATGATGCGACTTTTTACACATGTTGAAAAAAGAGAAAAGTCTGATAAAATAGCTATTCTGAATAGCTTAATAAAGCTATATGGCTAAATCAAGCTATATAGCTTAATTAAGAGATTGTGCCGGACCTGTCCAAGGATGAATATAAGTCAAGTCCTACATTTTGACACAGGATGGGAATTATTTAAGTTTTCTTTCATTTAAACAGAGAAAAATAATTTATGTAAACTGGTGCTTAAGCTTGGGATAAATGCAGATCAATTCTTTTGGGAAAGTGGTCTTGTTTACAGTAATCAATTGTTCATCTCAGTGATGACAAAGCACAACAAGACAAGTCCTATTGGAGTATTCTCATTGGAAACAAGGGATCATACTCATTGGGTATCCAAACCCTGGCTGTGACATCTCTGGATCCGGAAAGAATGCCATCACTGGGGAAAATTGTCGGCGAAATGGCCCGAACGTCTTTTTCATGCCCAACTATGCAGCACCGTATTTTGTATCCTGCCATTTTTTCTGATGAATGTCGAACCCGATAATTATTTTTGTATATTTCATTTATTTCAAAATCTAACGTCTATTAAACAACTGTTAAAAATATTTAAATTATTTTAAATGCATTTATTGAAGTATGTGAATATATGCAAAGCAGATTTTTAGAAGAAAAAAAATTCTTGGAAATCGGGCTCGGACTTAAGAGAAATTTAAGGTATTTCCACCCTCCTGTGATGTGTGATGTCATAGATTTTTATTTAAAAAAAACGCTTATTGATTCGGTTTATTGCCCCGTAGAAATGTATCGTTTTGAATGATGTTTTAAACAGTTGTACTGAAAAATATAATTTAAATAAATGAATTAAAAAGTGGTGTATTTTCAAACTTTAAAAAAAGTGTTACTAAGGGCAATAACTAAGTCTCATGTAATCATCATTCTTACTTTTGTTATTATAATTTTTATCATTATGCTTCTAAAGTTTCCCCCAAAAACCGAATTCAATCAATTGAATAAATTGAAAGATAAACATTTATTTTGGAACTTTCAGCATCAGAATTATCAGAGACATATAACATTTTCTATTATGTTTTTTATGTTTCTGGAATTGTGTTTGTCATTTCACTGGTTTTAACTTATTTTTTTATAATACTGTTAATTAATTGTACACATTTTCAGGCTGAAATATACTTCTTTAAAATGTTTCACAAGAAATATGACAACCTATCGTTATACATTTTTGGTAATCATTAATTAATTTAAATTTCTATGTTTAGTTCAGCAACCAGGGACCTATATACTGCAGCAACTTATTTGTTATTTTGTTTTTAGTTCTTATATCCATACATATTTCAACAGTGCCTCATATGATCAGTCTGGGAGAGAAAATTTACAACACTCTAGTGGAAACACCTCGAGAGGGTCGGGAGTCTGCAGTACTAGTTTTACCCTCTGCCAAAAAAAGACCGACTCTGCATGTAGTTACAGCGAAGAGCAATTAAAAAAAAACAATCAATTAAACGAACAAAAGAAAAATATATTTGATTTTTTGAATCTCTTTCATTCAATAATCATTGATTTTGAACCACAAAATATAGAACTTTTTATTCACTTCTGAAGACCCAAACAGGAAGTGGATGATTTCATGGTTCAGTAGCTCGAAAAAAGCAGAAATGGCAAGCAAAAGAAAGAGAGATAGTGATGCTGAATATTCGCCATCTTCAGCAAAGACGTTTAAAAACAGCGATGAAAGTGAGAATTTCTTCTATTCACAAAAAAAAAATTATATTTCTAAACACATTTTATTTTAGAAGACGTTGTAATACAAGATAAACAGAAAGGGTTAATGTTGTTAAGATATTTTTTTTAATGTTACATCATGCTTCGTCAGGAGGGAATGCATTTGAAACACACAAACACACACACACACACACACAAACAACTAACTTTTCATCATGCATCATTTCTTTGATCTAATATGTTTTACGGTGTGACCGTTGGGGCGAGCGCAGTTTATTTACTATCATAAACCTACACATGTACTGTCTATCATTCAAGAAAAAGAAAGCAAAAAGAATAAAACAAAACAATAAAAAGAAATCATTTCCCAAGCATCGGGATCGAGATTCCAAACTGACAAAATCGGAAATACCCGAACCGTTGAAGTGACGAAAGTATGACGTCAGATAAAAAGTTCTGTTGACTTAGGACGCAAACGCTAGTTTTATGGAAAAGAGATTGCATTAAATCGTTCTTTTCAAGTAAGTTGTTGCTATGTTTTAGCCACCATGTTGCTATGTTTTCCGAGTTTCACGGAAGCAACCGACATAACTTCGTCAAAATTCGTAAGTTTCCGGTGACGTCATTTGTATCATTTCCGAAGGGCAAGGTGAAGGCCGGTGTTGTGGCATGGGGGTATTTTTTGAATAAGGTAAGGCAAAATCATTTCGTTAAGATTTCACAATGTTCCTTTAATTTTTTTACTATTTTTGATTTATTCGCGCAAAGGACATTGGGTAGTGCAAGAATTCTGGGAATGTTGCACAGAGAAATTTGGCTGACGTATGTACAGATTTCAATCCGAATTTCCTCTGTTCATACACGTTAGTCTATTGAGCTCGCTGCGCTCACTATAATATGTAGACGGTGCGACCGTTAGGGCGAGCGCAGATACTTATCCAGTTTTCATTTAGATCGGACTCGTCAAACCGCACGTGACATTCGGCGCGTCTAAGACTCTGACGTCATATGACGTCGTATGCATGTTGCATTATCAAATTCAAGCCTAAACAGGGCTGATTTTAAATGAAGAACCGTTTTAATGACTATTTACTGCAACAATTTCATTAAATCAAGGCAAGTTTATTATTCGTTTAACTTTTTTGTTCTTATTCTCGCGAGAACGTGGCTTTAGCGTTATGTACTAAGCGTTGCATTGTGGATCAAAATTACTGCATCAAAAAATTCGATGGAATGAATGTGCAGTAGTCCGAATTTTCTCTTCGCCCAGGCGTTGTCGTTAGAGCTCGCAGTAACGAGCTTCGCTTCGCGACGCTCGCTGCACTCGCAATTAGTAGTATCTTTCATTTCTATCGTTAGCACATTAAGTTATTGTAAATGTGGAATGTAAAAGAATCATTTTTGCTCACACTCTATACTTTCATTTGCTTCTAGTGCCCGAGCTCTGTGATAGAACCATTTCCAGGTTAGTTTGAACTTTCAGTAAGCAAGGACCAACCTAGGGGGCGACTGAGGCGAAATAGTCGCTTTGGGGCTCCAAACTTCGCCGTTATTTATCACCAAAGCGAAGTTGAAGTCGCCCTAAGATTTCCAACCCCTTTATTGAAAATCATAAAAAAAAATCTATTAAGAAACATGATAGAATGGTCAGTAATTTACAAATCTTGTTTTAATTTCTGCTTAAATAAACGAAACAGCAGGACACTTGCACCTGTTTTGCTACTGTAATGGTTTGGGCCGTGGATATCGGCCTGGATAGCTCAGTTGGTAGAGCACCGACTGGAGATGCAGGGGTACCGGGTTCGATTCCCGGTCCAGCCATACATTTTCTCCTCTCCCGTTACATTTGGTGCCGTGCCATGCCCTGGAATTGACAGGTGAAAGACCTGCCAGGGATGAGCCTGGGTTGGGGTCTTTGGAGGGCCAAAGACCTTTAAGGAGGGAGGAATGTGGCGGTCAGCCGGGTTCGATTCCCGGTCCAGCCATACATTTTCTCCTTTCCTATTACAGATTTGGTGCCGTTGACCACCTCTGGAATTGCAGGTGAAAGTCCTGCCAGGGGCAATAAGAACTTGGGTTGTGTCTTCAAGGGCGAAGACAATTTAAGGAGGGAGGAATGTAATGGTTTGGGCCGTGGATATCGGCCTGGATAGCTCAGTTGGTAGAGCACCTGACTGGAGATGCAGGGGTACCGGGTTCGATTCCCGGTCCAGTCATACATTTTCTCCTTTCCTATTACACTACTAATGACCAACGCATCGAATACTCTGTCGGAACTCCTCTAGAATTTACGCTTCCGGATATGAAATAGTCCATTGTTACAAGTTATGCACAACCAGAAGCAAAACAGCTGGTCAGCTATCGATGTCATGCCAAAGATGTTGAAGACGATTTTAGATCTTTTTATTGCCAAATAATTAATTCATGTTGTGAATACAGACGTATTTTTACTGTTAAATTGTTTAGTTATTGACTGTCTAAGAAATTACACTCTCAGTCTATATGTATACGGAGTTCAATCAGCATGCAGTACGTAGTACATTAAAACTTTTTCAGAAAAAAAAAATAATATGAAAACAAATTTTGAAAGAAAATAACAAAATTATGACTATGCAATGAGGCTGAAAATTTAAAATGAAAAGATAGAATTTTAAAGTTATTTTGTGCATACTATGCAAGAAATGAAAACAAAACTTTTACATAGTCATTGTTTTTTTTTGTTTTGTTCTTGTTATTTTTTTGTTTTTGTTTTGCTAAAGATACCTTGTAACTGGAAAAAAAAATTCAGATATTTTTTTTCTTTCTTTAATTATTTTTACTAGGATGTCAATGCTGAAAAATTATTGAAATGCATTTTAAGTTATAAACAATGAAATAGTTTCATTTTTAAAAAGTTTATAATGATCAGTGAGTGTCGCGCGCGCCAAGAAGTCTCCCCAAATTTCAAAACTTCTCCCTAAATTTCTCTGAGGGAGAAGTGAAGTCTCCCTAAATTTTGGGTCTAGGTTGGTCCCTGAGTAAGGTGGGGTATTCTTGGTACTATGTATTAGCGTCTGTGAAATAGCGAATAGATTCTCAATGGTTAAGAACAGGTTCGGCACAATGTCTTGATTAAGCTATATAGCTTGATTTAGCTATATAGCTTTATTAAGCTATTCGGAATAGCTTGATTAAGCTATTTTATCACACTTTTTATGCCCCCCTTTGAAGAAGGGAGGGCATATTGCTTTGCTGCTGTCTGTCGGTCAGTCGGTCTGTCGTTCGGTCTGTCGGTCCACTTAGTTTCCGTTCATTTTCTTCGCATAGGTTGCACGTACTGAGATGAAATTTGGTATACAGATTTATCAGATAAATATCTTGGTCAAATTTTATTTTGGGTACAATCGCACCATATTTGACACAGTTATGCCCTTTTGGACTTAGAAAAATTCCAGTTTGGGGGGAGGGGGGCATAAGTGTTTTACGCCCATCTCTTGTTTCTCAAATGTTTTATTTTTTCAGCATGTGCAAAAAGTCGCACCTTGGTGCAATGGGAATATTAAAATTTGAACTTGTCTAAATACAATGCATGTAAAAATCACTCACCAAATTGCGTCTCCTTAAGAGACTTCATACTCAAAATTTTAAAAGTTTGGGGGCTATTGATGAGTGACCACACAGTTATTTCTTGAATGAAATTATAAAGGAGGTCAGTTATGGCCAACAGGATAATTGATTGGTAACAGAAGCAATCATACTTATCCATGCCTCACCGCACTCAGTATAATAGTGCAGTTACTCAAACAATGGAAATTCATCTTTTGCTTAAAAGTATTCAACAACAGCAATGTTAGAACTTTCTATGATTTGGATTGTATTTTTGATAGCCAAAAGTACATATATGCATAGTTAAATACTTGCGACTTTTTGTTTATTTCTTACTAAAAAACGCTTTTGTTAAAAACTACATATAAATAGCTTTATTGAGCTATTTTAAATAGCTTAATAAAGCTATATAGCTTTTTAAAGCTACATAGGTTAATCAAGCGATTGTGCTGGACCTGAAGAAATTAATAACATCAGAAATTTTAAATTGTTGTTGACAACGATGTGACGACTTAAGCTCCACCTCTTTGCGGGATGAGACAACGTTATTGATTATTCGATATACTTATTGGCATTTGCCCAAATTTCTAACTCATGTATATTTCAACAGTAAAGGAAAGCTGTGTAAATTTCAGAAGCTAATTATGTAACATCGAGAATGCCACGCCTTACTGAAAGTCCAAACTAACCTGGGAATGGTTCTATATGCATAGATTCTTGGTTGTTTTGCCCAGATTACCTGTTTGTGCCGAGTGATTTTGCATGCACTATTTCCTAGCTGCATAACTATAGCTCTCCAAAAAAAATTGACAGATTGGAAAGCTATAGTACATGGTACCCATTGTAAAAACTAATATATTTATTGCGCTCAAAGAAGTGTGCTGAATCTGAATTTAGCCACTCGGCGAGAACATGTAATCAAGGCAAACTCACTAATGGTAAATGTATATGAATATATTGTAAAAATGATTATGTATGAAACTAGCTTACTTGTTGAATTATTAGCCAGACTGCCAGAGGACTCTGAGGTCTGAGGTATTGGTCTTGATAGATATTTGCTGGTTTAGTTGTACCTTTTTTACAGACATTTGACATTAAACTTGTTAAAAAATATTGCGTAGTTTTAATCACTAGAATACTAACATTTTATTACATACCATGTTTCCTCTGCCAAAGGTACTAGTATACATTCTATAATAAGTCTATATAGTCTATAACTACATGTATATGAATGTATATGTTAATCCTGTATTGATTTTTCAGCTTCTAGCCATTCCAGATCTGGAAGAGCCAGAAAAAAACCAGCCCGGTTTTTGGATGAAGAGGATGGAGAGGAAAGTCCATCAGAGGGCCAGGAAGTGGAAGTGAAAACTGAGGAGATCCCTGATGTAAAACCGACCCCAACTCTTCTGGCCGCCACCCCCCAGATAATCCACTCCAATCCACAACTCATCGTGGCTACTCCTCAGATCATAAGTGCCAGCCCTCAGTTGATAAATGCAACCCAGTTGATCAGTGTTGCACCCCAGTTAATTAGCTCAGCTCCCCAGTTGATCAGCTCAGCTCAACATTTGATAAGTTCAGCCCCCCAGTTGATCAATTCAACTCCACAGTTGATCAGTTCAACTCCCCAGTTGATCAGTTCAGTCCCTCAGTTAATCAGTTCAACTCCACAATTGATCAGTGGTTCACCACAGCTTATTACAGCATCTCCACATCTAATTTCTGGTGCACCTCAAATGATTGTGTCACCTGAACCATTACTCCAGTCCAAAGTGGAGCCACTAGAAACTCCAAAGTCATCAAGGGTGAGTTAAAAAAAATCAGCAGTGAATATAATGAAATAATCACCGGATTTTAAATATTCCTTTGTTGTGAACTTGATTCACTGATCATAGGTATATAAAAAAACGTGTAGTGGGAAGCATTAAACTGGTATAATATTTGGGAGTTCTTTTATTCTCTTGATAATACACTAGGACCAAAATAGTTGATATAATAAATGGTAACTGTTTTTTTTATAATTGTTCACTTGAAAGATTTACATGTTGATGGAAACCTGTTTGCATTAAATTTTCCTCTTTTGAAGGTTAGAAAGAAATCAGCTAAAGTGATAGAAATGGAGGAATTTGAGAAGGCTGAAAAGGTCAAGTCCACCAAAAGGCCGACAAAGATAATTAGCCCGGAGTCGGTGACTGTGGCTGTCTCAGCCGCTCCCGGAATACAGCCCCAGATTTTACAGGCAGCCAACATACAGCTGAATTTAATGAACGCCCTGAACACATCAACATCAAGTGATGCCCAATCAACACTTCTAGCCCAGCTGAGGAAAAATCCCCAGATGGTGCGGGTTGTCGATGATCCTAAACCTGGGTCTGTGAAGACTGAGCCTATGCTGGTGTCAGGTCCCTTTGTCAGTCCGGGGGAGACAGTGATGGGGGACCAGAATTTCAGTGTGAAAGACGAACCCATTGATACAGTGGATCCTAACATATTGCTTCCCCAGTCTGCCCCAGGCTCGGCTTTGTTAACACATCTAACAAAAATAGCTCAGCAAGAGGGAAATGTGTCCCCGACTAAACCCCCAGCTAAAAAGAAAACACCTAAACCGAAAATGAAAGAAGAACCTGGTCCAAGCATGGCAGGAGACTCCCAGAGTAAAAGTGTCATTAAAATGTTGTTAAATAAGCCAGCCCAGTTTAGTGAGCCCGTAATCTCCACACAGACTCTGTCACAAATCAACTCTCCTGTGTCAGATAAAAATGTGAAGAAGCCAATCAAAATGAAAATTTCTACTGAAGGCTCTTCTATGTCACACATGGGTCCTGCTGGGGATGCGTTCATTCACGGAGCACCTGCCACTGTCACCAGTCCTGTAGAGAGCAATAAGTCACCCACATCAGGGTCAGATAAAAAGAAGGCAAGCATCAAGAGTGAAATATACAATCATGTACACACATATGTACATATGCAAATGTTTTATTCTATATAACACTATTTGAGCAATGCATATATGCATCACTGTTAAAAAACGTTAACTATTGTTAAGTCATTAACACATTTCACAGTGAAATTCTTGTGAATTTTGTGATAATTTCACAAAATCAGAAATTTATCCAACTAAATTATGAAAAACATATTAATAATGTTATGGTAAAATAATACTTAGATTAATTAATTAGGCCAAGAAAACAAAAAGGAAGCAGTCCGTATCAATCCTGGATGATGAAGATGAAGATGAGGAGGAATACGATGAAGATGATGATGATGACGATGATTTGATCGATGATGACATAGATGATAATGAAGATGATATGGACTGGGAGTTTGAAACACAGGATGGAAATCTGATCATTGCAGATGAGGTTCCCAAGAAGAGCACCAGTAAAAAGACCCCCAGCAAAAAGAAAGGCAAGAAAGGTGAAGACAGTAGCTACAGCTTACAATTGTGTTACATTTAGCAGCTCACTATGAAAATTTCTCATGACATAAACAATTATTTTAGATGATGGCGAGTCCTTTGCTGCAGCTAATAAAGACAAGAAGAGCAATGGACAGGTAAACTTCTTCTCAAGGCTCTGTTGGCAGGGACCAGGTTAATTTAGTTCTTCTTTGTTTTATGACCTGTCGGTAAATCTGCAATCATTCCTTTATACTTTGTCTTCAATTTATATTAGAACAGTTTTACCTGATCATTATTTCCAATTTTAAGTTAAATTTATCACTATCATGTAAATTTTTGATACTGTGAAAATAAATCTGCTTTTGATATTTATAGAAGGTAAAGAAGAGGAAACGCCTGACTGCCTACACTATGTGGTGCAACAGTGTGCGATACAAAGTGTTGAATGAAAATCCAGGAATTGGTAATAATAGCAATTTCAGAATTGGCCTTTTTATCAAGAATTGGTAATAATAGCAATTTCAGAATTGGCCTTTTTATAAGTTAAAAATAAAACTGGCTAAAATTTTTTTATTTTATGACCTGCCATGAATATGGCTATTAATTTTGCTCTATGTTCCATTCGTGTATTTTTAGCATTTCATATTTTTAGATTTTGCACAGTTAAGTAGGAGACTAGGAGAAATTTGGCAAAGTGTTCCAGCTAAAGACAAAATGGTAATTTATTGTGGCAGATGTGTCAGAATACATGTATAATCAATCTCCAGAAAGAATGCTTTGTTGTGATACTAAAATTCCAAATTAAGAATATATAATTAAACTAATGCATATATCAATGTCTGGAATTGTATTTGAAAGCAAAAATTTATATTGTATCAGATTTGTTATGCCCCCCTTCGTAGGAGGGAGGGCATATTGCTTTGCTGCTGTCTGTCGGTCCACTTAGTTTCCGTTCATTTTCTTCGCAACTGTTGCACACACTGAAATGAAATTTTGTATACTGATATATCACATGGATATCTAGGTCAAGTTCTGTTTTGGGTACGATAGCATCATTTTTGACAGAGTTATGCCCCTTGGACCTAGAGAAATTTCAATTATTTGCAGTTTCCGTTCATTTTCTTTGCAACCGTTGCACACATTGAGATGAAATTAGGTATACAGATTTATCAGATAAATATCTAGGCCAAATTCTGTTCTGGGTACGATCGCACCATTTTTGACAGAGTTATGCCCCTTGGACTTAGAAAAATTTCAATTATTTGCAGTTTCCGGTCATTTTCTTCACAACCAATGCACACACTGAAATGAAATTTTGGATACAGATATATCACATGAATATCTAGGTCAAGTTCTGTTTTGTGTATGATCCGCACCATTTTTGACAGAGTTATGCCCCTTGGACTTAGAAAAATTTCAATTACTTGCAGTTTCCATTCATTTTCTTCGCAATCGTTGCACATACTGAAATGAAATTTAGCATACAGGTTTATCAGAGGTATATCTAGACGAAGTTCTGTTCTGGGTACGATCACACCATTTTTGACAGAGTTATGCTCCTTAGACTTAAAAAAATTCCAATTATTTGCAGTTTTCGTTCATTTTCTTTGTAGAGGTTGCACATACTGAGATGAAATTTGGTATACAGATATATCGGATAAATATCTAGGTCAAGTTCTGTTTTGGGTACAATCGCATCATTTTTGATAGAGTTATGCCCTTTTGGATTTAGAAAAATTCCAATTTGTGGGGAGGGGGGCATAAGTGTTTTACAAACATCTCTTGTTACCGGGTAATTGGCAAAGCTTTTCAAAATTTTTGTTTAAAAATTGTGAAAAAGTTTGATATATATGTATTTTGCATTATCATGAACATTTGGAAACATTATAAAATTACCAGAAAAATTATAAATCACTAGAAAAATTATAAATCACTAAAGTGTATTTCTCCAAGACATATTTAATAATTATACACTGACTTTTAGGCCTGGAAGAGAAAAGCAAAAAGAGAAGCTCGTAAATTACTGGGGAAAGGTTTATTGATAAAGACAGGTAAAGGGGGCGGGACTACAACATCTCAATCCAGTGTGTCAACAGCCCCAGCTCCGCCCAGCAGCTCGAATACCCCACCCCCTATTTATCACCCACCAATCAGACACCACTCTACAAAACATCAGGTGACCAGTAATACTTCTGGAGTTGGTCCTGTGAAGCAAATGGAAGAACCTTTTACTAGTCCATCTAAGGTACCAGTAAATATTTTTATATGGATTTATTTTATTGGTCTGTGCTGACTTTTTTCTGCACTGATTTTTTGATAGATATTCAAAGTTTTGGATTAATTTAATATTATATACTTACTTAATGCACATAAATTATGTTTCAAAGAATGATTTTATCTTGCAGGTGCTTGGTATAGAGCCTATTGACACAGCAGCTCATCTGAAGTTAGTGGGGGACTCTCTTAGTATCATAGGAATCAGACTACAGGAACACAGGGTAGGTCCATTCACAATACAGTGAGGCATTCATATAAATTATGTTTCAAAGAATGATTTTATCTTGCATTCATAGGTGCTTGGTATAGTGAGCCTATTGAACACAGCAGCACATCTGAACACAGTTAGTGAGGCATTCTCTCTTTCACAATACAGTATCATAGGAATCAGACTACAGGAACACAGGGTAGGTCCACTCACAATACAGTGAGGCATTCATAGGAATCAGACTACAGGAACACAGGGTAGGTCCATTCACAATACAGTGAGGCATTCATAGGAATCAGACTACAGGAACACAGGGTAGGTCCATTCACAATACAGTGAGGCATACTTAGCAAACTTTTTTCCAGTTTTGCTATTATTTTGATAAACTAACAGGTATGTTTGCATCAAAGCCTGAATAACAAGGAGTACCGGGTATATAGGGTTACATGTACTATAATTCATTTGTAATTTTACCTCAATAGAATTGAGACAAAATGAAATTATACTGTATCTCTAGTGTTAATGTCAGATTTTTGGAGCAGGTCCATTCCTTTGTAACTATAAACACTACCTAAACCAAACTTGGATTCATGGTGCATTTAATGATTTTATGTAAACTATCATACTTGTTTCATATGCCACTACTACCCTTTATTTTCTGGATGATTGATCAGGCAAGTCTTTGAAGATTGTCCAAATCCAAGTTACTGAATCATACAAAGACCAAACATAATATTTTGAACTCGAAGAGATTGAGAAAAAAACTTGAGACATCCAAGGATTCCAAGTATTGAGGGGAAAATACATAAAGAATAATTGGTTGTGACTTCAAAATTTTAGAAACATTTCCATGGTATTCAAGATAACAGCGATCGAGATACAGAAGTTTGAACTATAGTAAAAGATTTACATATATTATTTCATTTTATTTAAAAATGCTCTATATTATATTATTCTGTTACAGGGTTTGATCGCTGTACAGGGAAGCCTCTCGGTCCTGTTGGATTCTCTTCTGTGTGCGGTGGGGCCCCTCATGTGTCTGACCTCGCAAGTCCCGGAACTTAATGGCTGCTCCCCTAAAACACACACACGAGTGCTGGACAATATTGCATATATTATGCCAGGGTTGTAATACTTTGTAGTTGTTGAATTTGTTTTACATAAATAAATGTTATATGTTGTCAACTTCTTGGTTGTTTAAAATTTTTGATATTGTCTGAACTACAAGGTTAATTATGCTTTGATCGTCTATTTGTTCCTCATTTTATTGCTTCCATTGCATGAAGCATAATCAACCAAGAGTTTAGGACAATGAAAAATGATGTACTTACTTGGATTATATACTACCAGTGACCATGAACTTGACTAAATGACCTTGGGTCAAGGTCCTAACACTGTGTCAGCTCTTAAAAATATCCATGTTCCATGAGTGATCTCTGTTACTAGATTTGGTCAGAAATGAATTTACAATGTATATTTATTAGTAGTGACTGTGGACCCCAGAATTTGGTAGACCTATCGGTTTTATCTAAAAAATAATTAGTATACTAGTAGTATTACACTTGGGTTTTTATTTGGGTCTGCACTGCTAAAAAGGAGGAAAAAACATCATTTCATCAATTTATTGTAGTATTCCATAAAATCTGGATAATATGAGAATATTTGAATGATATAAAAATCCAAATACAAGTAGAAAAATATAAAACAATTCTCACATACAGCATACTGATACTGCTTGCAAATATACGTAACTTCTGGTACCATAAAACAAATACTCTCACCCCCAAAATAGCCAATCACATGGTGAGGTTTGGTCCCAGTAAGTTGAAATATAGTCCACTAGGGCTACATAATTTTGATTACATTTTTCAAAACTATTCACAGTATATTCCATATTTATATTCACATACACTGTACACTTTTAACAACAATGCTTTACTTCGTCGTTGGGTGAAAATAAGAGGTACTCAATGGTAGTATGATATAATATTTTACAAAGTGGACTCTTAAATGTAGTAACTAGTAAACATGAATAATAGATGTCCAGCATGATCTGCATGGATATGAAAAACAGCATATAAGGAAATGAGTTAAACATAACATTCAGGGAATTTTGGTGCTTTTTTGGTCAAAAGAGCCAGATGAAACACTGATATAAATACATATACATATATGTCTGAACTTTCAATGAATGAAGTATTCCAGTAGAAAATCTTTATTTTTTTCTTAAATTTTCTTTTTTCCATGTAAATACCATAATAATACTTAAAATTTACTTCTTAACTGTGAGAACACATTTCTTTTGAAAACTGAAAATCGCCAAATTTTTGCAACAGTTACCGCTACTTTCCTGTGATGGTTAATATATTGTACATGTATTTATAAACAAGAATGTTTTTTTTCTGGTGATTTCTGGTCATTGTTCTTAATAATCCTGAATGATATAATAAAATGCAAAAGAAAAATTTTTTTTTTATAAGGGGATGGTCTCAGGTCTTCACGCAAAAATAGAGTTCTTGCGAAAATAAAGGGATATACAGTAAAAAGGAGAAAGGACCTTAACTGTGAGCTGTGTTTCCTTCTCCATCTCTAAGATTGCCATAAAATAACAAGTAAATTAAACATCAGATATGCCTCCATACATCTGGTACCTGCCATGTAAATTTCTTGAAATTCACATACAGGTGTACACCACCAAAGAAGTTTTCAAAAGTAAAACTTGAAAAGCATATATACAACATTGGGGTTATACATTCTCTGGTTTATATGGAATGTTTTATAAAATATCACATAATAGATTAAAATGTTACATATATTTATATATGTACAGTTTAAACCAACCAAATAAAAACAAATTCTCTATACATAGAAAAATAACGAAACGGGTCATGCATGGGAATGATTTAACAATTATACAAGAACAAAATGGAAATCATGTAAGTAATCAACAAACACAATTTATATGGAATCTTTGGCTTTTATGAGAATTTGGAAATTTTGGAAGACTTAAATGGAAAATAAAAATCCAATTCAAATAAAACACAACAGCTAAATAGACAATGCAATGATTTTTATGTACAAATTACTTTCTACTAAGTATAAGTGATTTGCAATGCATTCACATATATATACATATATAAAGCCAAAAAATGTTTAGATTCTCTGACACTGCCACTTGGATCAAACTCCGCTATACTGTTAATTTTTTTCTGACATACTGGGGAATAACCATTACATGTATTTTTTTCTATAGTTGAAAATAAGTTTTCTTTATGGAGAGAACTAATATATAGGCCACTTTTGCCTGCTGTTCAATCCATTTTGATTGTATTCTTCTTTTTATATCATGAATAAAATACTTCTTAAACTAAACTCAAACTAAAATACATGTACTAAATAACTTTTCTTTAAAACAAGAGGTCCATGGGCCACAATGCTCACCTGAGTAACACTGACCCTACTGTTTCATTGCCACAATTAAATAATTCTGATTTTAAAAGTACATAGCATTTGTGATAAAATACAAGACATGTATCAAACATAAAATATTAAATCTATACCAAATTCTAAGTCAACATACTCACAAGATAAACAAGAGCATTAAAACATCCGAGTCTAAAACTAAATCCTTCACTCCTGATTATTGCTCCCCAAACCATAAGAATACAGTTAAAATTCAGTAACAAATTAATCTATTTCAGGATATAGACAATCTAAAATCTAATCTGAACAACAATACAGGCACTGTTGTCAAGGTACAAAAAAATAAAATTAAAATTCAAAATTAAAACGGGCAAAGATTGTCAAAATTTCCGAGATTTTTTATCAGCTTCTTTTTTGCATGGATTTGAGTTCGACACTGTCCTCTGCATTCTGTCGTTTCAGCGTCGGTCTACGTGTTCGCGAGTTGCCAATATCCTTTCTCTGATTACCTTTTCTTCCATCGCAGCCCTCCGCCCGACTCGTACCACTACTCTCTATAGATGCACTTGAATAATACACACTGGAACTATTAGAATTTGAGCGTTCTAACAAATTATTGTTTTCCTCCGGCTGTCTTTCTGACATTCGTCTAGTCCTGTCTGAGACAACAGTCTGTTCTGAAGATGAGGGGGTATTTTCCAGACTTCTAGGACTACTTATACTGGGCTGAGAACTACTCGGGGTTTTGTCGACTACGGGAATTTGGAGCTGGGACACGGGAGAGACACTAGTGGTCACCCGTCCCCTCGCTGCCAGGTTTGAGCCATCTCTACACACAGAGACATCGTAAGCAGTCACGTAACTCCAGTCTGACGTGGCAGCTAAACTGGAGGTTTCCTCCGATAAAATGTGGTTGGTGAAATCATACCCACGATTCACCTGGCCGGCTTTTGTAGCGGGGCCAGTTATCACTATCTTAGGTTTGTCTTCTTGCATAATCTCAATCACAAAAGCAATAAAAGAGTAACAATATATATACTCCATCTGCAAGACAAAAATTGCTCAACAATAATAAAATGAAAATCAGAAAAGCTCGCATCTTCATCAAAAGTTATAAGGAAGTTTGAATTATTAATATCAGTAAATGCAAGATTGTGGATTGCATAAATTAAGCCTTATTTTATTCAAAAATGGTTCTAAGATTACAAAGCTCATCTCAACGGATGCAATTTCAATCTAATAGCTAGGTCTTGCAGTTACTTAGGAATAAACTTATTTTTTGTTTTAAAATTCTATATTTGTCAATCATAAAGACAATGTAATTCAAATTCAGCATCTAAAACAAGCATCATCCATGCAAGTTTGGTAAAACTTCTCAGTTGGTCTAGGTAGCACTTGAAGTTACATTGGAATGTCTGCCTTCAAAAACAATAACCTGGTCACTCATCTGGAAAATGTAGGTTAAATTCAGCTTCTCGAGCAACTTTGGTAGTGCGCTTCCATTGTTGCTTGCATCATCCATGCAAGTTTGGTCCAGGTCGGCCTTACTAATTTTTTGGTCAATGAGCCATTTCAAAACTTCACTCTGGTCACTCTTCTGGTAAATATAGGTCAGATCAAGCATCTAACTTGGAATGACACCTAGTCATAAACACATTAACCTGGTCATTCCTTTGCTGAAATTGCAGCATCTGAAACCTTGACTGGTACAATGAATCACACTGGAAGGATTCTTCAAGCATCTCTGATTAATAAATGGCATAAAAGTACTATTTGACAAGAAATCTGCTCCCAAAAACCATAACCTTAGAGGATAATGCTGAGGGTAATATATACCCTCCCCCAGCTATTTTCATTGAGGTGAGCTAAATTGAATGACAGATACATTCAAAGGTCATCTTGTAACTACATTGTACTTACAACATTTGGCACAAGTGCAGGTCTGTTTTTTTTAACAATTCGGACAGCATTGAAAATGTCTACTTCTCCCTCGGCTTTGAGTTGATCACAACAATAATTACATGCACAATATACTCCAACTCTAGTAAGGCCATCCCTGTAATATGACAGAAGTATTTTTAGTATCCATAGTATCCATGGTAACACTATATTTATCTAAATAAAAACCTGAGCTACCTTGATGTAGTCTGCATACCAAGTTTTATTGAAATTGGACCAAAAAACATAGGAGTAAGGTGGACATTATAAAACATACTTGGACATAACTTAGGATTCTAATTTTGATTGAAATCAGACAACTATTTACATGTGTATAGGACATTTTATAACTTACTTGGACATAACTAGGACTGGATTGAGTGGGTTTGTCTTCTGCTGCCATTCCTCCACGAATCCCATAAGGTAGATCAGGGACTTGGAGGAGAAGGGAGTTTTCTCCTTACTGGCCCAGCTGTTCAGTTGGAAGATTTTTACAATCGTTGTGTCCTGGCCTGAATCGCCGAGAGGTATACACGTTATGTTCTGAAAATATCAGTTACATTTACTCTGATAAAAATTAGGCAGAATGTCTTTGTATCACAACTAAAAATAAATAGAATTTGCAATTCTTAGCATGTTTCAAAAATTTACTTTTATATATACCTTCAAGATAAATGGGGAAAAGGAAAAAAAGATATATAATTTATATAAAATTGGAAAGAAATATATTTTATGCTGTTACAGTGACTATAACCAATCATGCTTTATAAAAATGCCCTTAATACCACACAGGAAAAAGAACAAAGAAATTGTATAAAAATTTGAAGAAGAAAGGAAGAAATTTTAAATATATTAAGCTCAATACATAAGGGTCTTGAGTAAGATATTTACAGTACCAACAGAACACAATCAGACACCAGAGCAATCCCAAAAAGATGATCCCAAATTTGCTTTTTGTAGGCTTGGGATCCTCTAATGACAAATTGGATGCTCGGTGCATGTAGGCGCTAGCAACCAGAGGAGAACCCCAAACAAACATGGAAAGCAGCAAACCAGGGATTTAGTTTTGGCCTTCTCTTGTTTGATTGTGCCTTATTGGTACTGAATAAGGAATTTAAAAAAGAATTAAATATGTATATTTTAAAAACCAACATAATTGTACATATTGACAAAAAAAAATTAAAGCATTTGAAGCAAATACAATTAAAAAATATATTATTAATTATAAGATTATCGTGCCCCCAAACATTTCACTTAAAGTGTGATTGCTTGTATCAATGTTTGGTTGGATGTTTTAAAATTTTCACTAACCATCTATTTACATTGATAAATCTACCTTTACTAAAACCCTAACAAGCAAGGTTGCAGAGCTCATTAGTTTATTAAAGTTATGCTGAGTTTTAAACACTGGATATTGATAAAAAAAGGGGGGGGAGGCTACATCTACACAGTCACACAAGTGGATCATAATGTATCAATATCAGTGGATCATATTTATAATATAAAACAAACTTTGATGAAAATGTTTCACAAATCCTACCAAATCAAGCCTTCTCAAATCTCAATCATATAAGTGTACAAAAAAAAATTAGTGCTACGAAAATTATGATATTAAAGCAGGTCAATGTAAAATTGATGAACTTTTATTTAAAAATAATGAAAAAAGTGAGGGGGAAAATGATTGCCACACGTAAAATGCTGATTCCTCACTTCATGCAAATATAGCAAAAAAAAAAAGGTGAAAACTGCAGAGGAAAAAAAAGTGTTAAAAAAAGTGAGTAAAACTGAAGGGTTACCAGTGCATCTGACCCTAGATGCTTAAGAACTGAGTCATACTGTAGTCTAGGGAGCTGGAATTAGGAACATATATATACATACAGCCCTCCATAAGGATTAGTTCAAAACAAAATGTTAAATATGTTATGACATACCATCTAACAGTGACGCGTGGGACCGACACAGTGCCAGATAAAAGAGTTTGTTAATGAGCTATGGATGTAGCATATTGTGTAAATGCTGTAGATCACTAAATTTTCGCTACACCTTATTTTCGCGAGATATTCATTAACTCTTCATTAGCGAAACAAAATTTTCGCGAATTGTGGTTATTGCTCTATATAATCTTAAAGAATAATTATAGTAAATTTTCGCGAGCACACTGTTATGCGTATGCTAAAAAGTGATTTACAGTATTACACATTAAGCTTGCTCTTGATAAAGTTTAGCTGTTATGCGTATGCTTTTCCATTAGATCTAATATCATTAGGAAGTTTGTTACACTTCATTACATATCCCAAAAGTAGAACATATAATTATTTTAATTGTTGTTTAAAGGGGGGGATCTGAAAAACTTATAAATTCCCTTTTAAACACCGGGTAATATGGTAATACCATATCTAGTTTAATATAATTTCATTTAAAACCTATAGTGCAACATGTTAACAAAACTCATAAAGCACAACAGGCCTCCAAATGAAACATTTAGGAATAGAAGCAATGTTAGCTCAAAGCTGGAGACACGTGAAGAGTTACTTCTGTTAGCAACAGGCCATTAGTGGATGACATTTCTTTACAAATAGACAAACAGACAGACAGACATACTTTTCGGATGGCGAATGCCCTGATGGTCACATGAGACACCTTGTGGCTTCCTAAATACTTCACTCCGATTGGTCCAAATTTCTGCTCCTCATCCAGCTCCATTGGCCAAAAGCAAGGATAGTTCTGTATAGAAAAAAAAATGGTCTCAATTTAGAGTTCTTGTTTACCAATCAAAATTATTGAAATCATTTAAAAAAACTTTTTGAATTAAAATAGAAGTAAAAAGCAAAGAATTATACACACAGACACTGGATCATGGCATAAGCTAGTTTTGGACTTTGGCCAGAAAAAAAAGAACAAGTTATGATAAATAGATACTCACCCTAGAGAATTTGGAGTCATTGAGTAAGACGACAGAGGTGATTTTGTAATCAAATACCAATCTCCACACGTCAGGAATGGTGTGCTGCAGGGGCCACTGGGTGACCATGAAGTTATTTTGCTGATAATAACCCTGAAAAGATATACAAGATTCTGTCAAATATTTACTGGATAGACAAAAATACTAGGAATCAAAGGATACGGACTGCAGGCATCAAATCTTATATAAAACCTTGGTATATGCTACATATATGTACATATGTACATATAATGCTTAATATTTCCATTTCTAATTTTTTTCTCTGTGATAACTCTTTGAAAGTTAGGGAGTTTATTTCTTTGTAATTCTGTCGGAATGTAAATTAGGCAGGTCGATAGGTCGTGAGCTAAGGAGGCCTAATACGCATGCAAATCTCGTGCACATTTGTCTCCGTGTCTGATGCTAAAGAGGCTAAATATGCATGTAAATCTCATGGGGCTGCCTTTGTGTTTGACGTCAGTGGGCAAGGACTATTGAAATTGACATGGAAGTCCTCATGCAATTTAAATCTATTTATCCACATTTTTAAAGTCTAAATTTACAATTTTATTTCACAATGAAATGGAAATATAAGGAATCACTGTCTAGTTAGTGTAGTATGCCAGGTACATCAACGATAGTGGGAAACATGGGATAATTTATGCAAATTATCCCATGTTTCCCACTATCATTGATGCCCTGGCATACTGTGGAATCATTTTTGTTTGTGGGGGACCAATGTTCGTGGCTTTCCTGGGTTATCCTTATCCACGAATTAACATCCCCATGAATGTATGTACAAACATTTGTTTTATTATGTATTTAAGTTACGAAAAGGAAAAAGAAATTGTTATCAACGAAATTACGTCCCCACGAACCAGGAGATTTTTGGCCTCCCACGAACATTGACCCCCACGAATAAACATAGGTAATCAGAGATTACAGAGCTCACCTCAACGAATGTTGTCTTTAAGTAAGGCAAAGTCACACAATTAACCAACAAAAAGTGTACATTCCAAAAATGAAAATATTCATGCAATTTTGATCTGATACTTTGAAATAGACCTATATAAAATATTCAAACTAGTTCTTCTTCATGAAAATGTAAATAAAATCCAGCATCTGAAGCAAATTTGAGAGTTTTCATCCCTTGATGCATCATTTGTGCAAGTTTGGTTTATACAATGTTATATATAAGCCTTATAGTTTCTTGGTAATAGACCTGCACCCACAACTTTTACCTGGTCCATTATCTGAAAAATGTATGTCTAATTCAGCATCCGAAGCAAGTCCATTAGTGTGCATCCTAAGATGTATCATCCATGGAAGTTTGGTCATTAAAGAACTCATAGTTACTTCGAAATGAATCATGCACCAAAAACTTTAACCTGTTCACTCAACCGGAAAATGTAGGTCAGATTCAGCATCTGAAGCAAGCCTGGTAGTATGCATCCTTAGATGTATCATCCATGCAAGTTAAGTCATCATAGGGCTCATAGTATATTAAAATTGAGACCTGCACCAAAAACTTTAACCTGTTCATTCAATCGGAAAATGTAGGTCAGATTCAGCATCCGAAGCAAGCCTGGTAGTATGCATCCTTAGATGTATCATCCATGCAAGTTTGGTCAACATAGGGCTTATAGTTACTTGGAAATGAAATCTGCACCAAAAACTTTAACCTGTTCACTCAACCGGAAAATGTAGTTCAGATTCAGCATCCGAAGCAACCCTGGTAGTATGCATCCTTAGATGTATCATCCACACAAGTTTGGTCATTATAGTGCTCATAGTTACTTGGAAATGAGACCTGCACCAAAAACTTTAACCTGTTCACTCAACCGGAAAATGTAGGTCAGATTCAGCATCCGAAGCAAGCCTGGTAGTATGCATCCTTAGATGTATCATCCATGCAAGTTTGGTCATTATAGTGCTCATAGTTACTTGGAAATGAGACCTTCACCAAAAACTTTAACCTGTTCACTCAACAAAATTAGGTTTCAGCATCCGAAGCAACCCTGGAAATGTGCATCCTTAGATGCACCATCCATGCAAGTTTGGTCAACATAGGGCTCATAGTTACTTGGAAATGAAAACCTGTTCACTCAACCGGAAAATGTAGGTCAGATTCAGCATCCGAAGCAAGCCTGGTAGTGTGCATCTTTAGATGTATCATCCATGCAAGTTTGGTCAACATAGGTCTTACAGTTACTTGGAAATGAGACCTACACCAAAAAGTGCACCAAAAATGTTAACCTGCTCCAAAAACATAAACCTGGTCATTCCTCTGCTGAAATTGCAGCATCTGAAACTTTGACTGGTACAATGAAACACACTAGAAGCATCTTCCATGCATGTCTAATCAATATAGGACATAGAAGTACTTAAAAAGAAAACTGCTCCAAAAAACTTAACCTGGGACGCCGACACCGACGCCGACACCGAGGGTATTACATAAGCTCCCCCAACTTCGTTGAGGTGAGCTAAAAATGATTCCACAGTACTACACTAACTAGACAGTGATTCCTTGAACATTCTTATGATGAAATTTTATGTTATGATGAACATTCTTATGAAATTAAAATCTGCAAGTGAAACATTTTCACAGCAAATATTGAATTATTTTTTTTAGTATATAATGTGGAATAATAACTCGAATTTCTCTTTTAAATAGAAAAATATTTTCCCATCTTCAATCAAGCCCCTAAGCTTTAATTCATCCAAATATATCTTATAAAAGGACAACAGTCCTTGACATTGGTTAATGATGATGATCAGGTAATTGACCTAGAAGCATCAGTCAGAACTCAAACCCAGACCTATTTTTTTCCACCTAGAATCCAGATACCTGGATACGAAAGCTTTAGTCAGTTAAAGTAATTAATCAAAGACCTTGTCTGTGTTTTGAAGCAGCCAATAGTCCTTTTGTTGTGCTCTAAACTATTTTTATTAACATGATTAACCTCAGACATTCATCAAGCAGATTAATCCTTGCATCAAGTACCAGCAGTAAGAAGCGTGCTGGGGTAGACAAAATGAATTTTCAAAATGTGCTTCATTAGTTTCTGGCCCAGGGATCATAAAACATCTTAAGCTTAATTAAGTCAAAATATTCATATCATACTAAAATTTTAATATTGAGTCAAGCAGAGAAAAATTAAAATATTTGTCAGTATAATGCTTCACAAAAGTGCAGTTGTTATCTGCAAATTAAGAGATTTATTCAACCATTAAACATTTTACACTGACGATTAAAAATTTAACTCAAGTTTAAGTCTCATTATCCTGGGACCAGAATTCAGGATATCAGTGTTTTGCTACTTACATCGACATACACAGCATTTATAAAGTCTGTGGCGTGTTCACCGGACTCCGCAGTTAACAAGTAGGGGCGAGCTCGTTCAGCTAATTAAAAACAAACATTCATAATTTAACTCTAATATTCTAAAATTTATGACTTTAATAGCAATGGATACAGGCCATTCAATCTCATTTAATGGAGAGTAAATATAATCTCTCTGACAACAAATCAATTATCAAGGTTCACAATATTCTGGGACTATACTTTTAGGTGGCAGCCATTGTAAGCCTATAATCTGTTTTGATTGCAAAGAGAAATTTTAAAAGCTGCAGCCGACTGCATTTTACGATCAATGATTCAAATTGTACCTAAGGCTCCTAAAAGCTCATCAAATATTAAACAATAAATGTAAGTTTTCTATTTCAAGTACTCAGTATGGATTAGAGAGAGAACTGAAGAACATAATCAATACACTAATTGAAGCAAACATTCCAAGTTAGAAACTTTTAGATTTATCAGCAAATTTTTTCAAAAAAATTGGCTCGATTTTCTGGAATAGATTCGACTTATTAAAAGCTGAACATTTCTACTTTGCAATGATCACTACAAATATGAGTCAAATGGGAGAGAACATCAATGTAATCACTGATACAGAAAAGGAGGACTGGGACAAAGCATCATAGCTATATACCCTGATTTTACTGCATGCTTTAGGGCAACATACAACTCGCTATAATCTAAAACTCATACTTTTGACATCTACCTTCTCCATTCCCCCTCCCCCAATCCCCAAATCTTTTTTCTCTGCTAACCACTCTACTTTGACCAGATCCCCAGGGGCTGTGGCTTCACACCATTGCAGATTTGATACTCACGCGGCAGGAGCATGATATCGCGACTTTTGGAGCGATTCTCAGATCTGTGGCCACCAGCGCAGTCTCCGATACTTAATTTGGTCACTTGAGACTTCAGGGTCTGGAAAAACATGCAAGCAATCTGTACAAGTCTTAATCAAGACAAGATACATCACTCTATCGTTTCATCTCTTGGCCTTTATTTTGCTATATTAATCACCATCATGAAAAGAGAAACTCATTATTTTTCTACCATCCCCAGAGATATGTTCTGTTTTCTTTTCACATATAAAAATCAATGGCTTAAACACTCTTGTCTGAATATGATGCTGTAACTTTGCAATGAATAGTGACATCTGATCTTGTTTGAATGAAGCATTACATAATTTACATCACCGTTTTTATTTTGGGAAGAATATCAGCCCACACTATATACAATGTTGATTAGGATATTTGTAATTCTAATTGATTTTGGTTGACTTATCATCAATAGATGTTCCATATATATATTCCCAGATGTTAAAAATTACACATCTAGACAATATCAATTATGACAGTTAAGATAATATTTCAGGAAGGAAAAAATTGCAGATTGATGTACCTGAAACTCCTTCTCGAAGCCCAGCATCCTGGTTCTTGGGTCTTTTACAGATAATCTTGAGGCTACTGCAGGGAACTGCACTGCAGGCACTACTGTTATACCACACTGGAGATACATGGCTATACACTCGTATATCAGGCGATACTGAAACTTTACAAAAAAAATTACATCAGTGATAAAAATAGGACATCTTATTATTTCTCTGAATTTTTATTCACTTGATGGTATGTTGCTTCCTTACCAGCGTTCGAACCATATTTTTCCTGAACTTGCGGAGATGAAGCACAGCACTGTATACATCTACATGTCCCTCTGCCTCCAGTTCCTTCAGGCAGTAATCCACAGCAATGAAAACAGCAGTCTTACCCCCACCACACCTGTTATAAAAAGTCACACAGGTAAATTTCTAGATAATAGTCACACTTCGTTATCTCAAACTTGATGGGTCTGAGAAAACACTTAAATTCTGAGATTGAAGAGGAATCGAGATATTGAGGGTAAAATATACTTAAAGAATATATGGTTGGGACTTCTACATCACTTGGACATATCCATGATATTTGAGTTTAAGATACCGAAGTTCAACTGATATTCAAGATATTGGAGTTTGATTGAGATATACTGATCGAAGTTCAACTGTACTTAATAGATAGGAACAGAATCTGGACAATAAGCCACAGCACTTAGCATATCAACACAATTAAATGTACAGCAGCGGTAACCTTACTAAGTATTAAAACCAGAAGTCTCTGTCGAGACTGAAGCTCTACTGGTTTGTACTTATAGCAAAGGAAGAGAAAAGTACTTCAGCAGTTGGGAATTGAAACTTAACAACAGCAATAGATAGAATAATGATCCTTGATAAAGTCTCTTTATGTTCTTAGTGTAGTCTACAAGTTTGCGAAGTTATATTGAAATCAGACCAAAACTGTAGGAGGAGTAGCATTTTAAAGGAATTTCACAGAAATTTCTATTTTTAGTTACCACGGCAAAACCGTTTATTGAAATCAAAAGCTGATAAACAGAATTATGTATCTTAGTGTAGTCTACTTGTGTGCCAAGTTATATTGAAATCAGACCAAAACTGTAGGAGGAGTAGCATTTTCAAAGAATTTCACAGAAATGTCTATTTTTAGTAACCAGCAACAACGTTCATCGAAATCAAAAACAGATATAGAAAATTATGTATCTTAGTGTAGTCTACTTGTGTGCCAAGTTATATTGAAATCAGACTAAAAGTGTATGTGGAGTAGCAATTTAAAGGAATTTCACAGAAATTTCTATTTTTAGTAACCAGGGCAACAACGTTCATCGAAATGAAAAACCGATACACAGAATTATGTATCTTAGTGTAGTCTACTTGTGTGCCAAGTTATATTGAAATCAGACCAAAACTGTAGGAGGAGTAGCATTTTGAAAGAATTTCACAGAAATTTCTATTTTTAGTAACCACGGCAACACCGTTTATCGAAATCAAAAACCGATATACAGAATTATGTATCTTAGGGTAGTCTACTTGTGTGCTAAGTTATATTGAAATCAGACCAAAACTGTAGGAGGAGTAGCATTTTAAAGGAATTTCACAGAAATTTCTATTTTTAGTAACCACGGCAACAGCGTTCAGCGAAATCAAAAACTGATATACAGAATAATGTATCTTAGTGTTGTTTACTTGTGTGCCAAGTTAAATTGAAATCAGACCAAAACTGCAGGAGGAGTAGCATTTTAAAGGAATTTTACAGAAATTTCTATTTTTAGTTACCACGGCAACACCATTTATCAAAATCAAAAACCAATACACAGAATTATGTATCTTAGTGTAGTCTACTTGTGTGCCAAGTTATATTGAAATCAGACCAAAACTGTAGGAGGAGTAGCATTTTGAAAGAATTTCACAGAAATTTCTATTTTTAGTAACCACGGCAACAACGTTCATCGAAATCAAAAACCGATACATAAAATTATGTATCTTAGTGTAGTCTACTTGTGTGCCAAGTTATATTGAAATCAGACCAAAACTGTAGGAGGAGTAGCATTTTAAAGAAATTTCACAGAAATTTCTATTTTTAGTTACCACGGCAACACCGTTTATCAAAATCAAAAACCGATACACAGAATTATGTATCTTAGTGTAGTCTACTTGTGTGCCAAGTTATATTGAAATCAGATCAAAACTGTAAAAGGAGTAGCATTTTGAAAAATTGTTTACAGACAGACGGACAGACGGACAGACAGACGGACAGACGGACGGATGCCGGACGCATTACTATCGCATAAGCTCTTCTGGTCTCTGACCAGTAGAGCTAAAAAACCTGAGATTTCAAATATTTATAAATTTTAATTTCTGTACTTCTATATCTATACAGTCCAACCTTGTTATCTCAAAGACACCAAGAAAAAAACTTTGAGATATTCAAGGATTATAGATACTGAGGGCCAATTATTTAAAAAGTAAGTAGACAGGACTTCCAATTAAATCGATCACTTCTGCATATCCACCTTATTTAAGATAGTGATGTTTGAGAAACCATAGTTAACTGTATACATGTATATGCAAACATCTCTGAGAACCTTTACCAAGCATCTGTGCAAGAACTTACTTATGACAATACAATTGTATGTCTTAGTTGCATGTGTCATATTATATAATTTAAAAGTTCTGTGGTCATATTGTCAACATTTTCCTAGAAATTTTCTACTATGAAACTGTTACAAATGATTTTCAACTCAATTCATGACAAATAAGTGCCTTCTGGGACAATTCATTTTATATCTACCCTCTTTTATCTCTCGATAACATTGACGCTAAAACAAAACTTATCAATAATTCAGTTCCCCGGTGACCTGGGTGCACAATCTACAAATGAATCATTATATAGACGTGAAATATAGAAAAGCAACATTAGCAAATTAAAACATGTTAGACATGGAGAAAACTTTGCTGAATAAATAAATAATGTCTTATCACATTAGGCTGGGTTTCATTTGTTTAGGATGAGGAAATATTACTAGTCACATATTACTTGTCACATGCCACTAGATCAAGGGATTGTCCAACCAACCTGGCAAAGAAAAAGTATAGGGTTTGGTGACAAGCATGTGTAAATCACAGTTATTGGTGATTAATGTCTGCAGCCGTAAGAACATAAGCCTTCATATTAAAGCTACTCCTCATCCACTGTACTATCGAGCATTCAGATCACATCTTAACGGAGAATGAAAATTTCCGACAACGTCGATTGGGTAGGCATGTTCAAACGCACAAATCTTTATCAAGAGACTCCAAGTTACATAAAAAGACCATTAATGACAGCAAAGACAGGCTTATCTCAGTATTATTCCTTCTAGTTACCATGAAATAAATTTTTGCAGTAATAATTTTCATCTCATCCGCAAGGAAATAGGGAATCTTCTTAACTTAATTATAAAATGGAATAAGCAACAAATCATGGTTTTAGAGCACGTCAAGGAACTGAAAAAGTGTGCTTGTAATTAAGCCACTATTTGTTAAACCCTGATTTAAATTCACTTTTAGTTTTCAGTAATATGTTTCAATAAATTTTCTACATCCTTATTTGCCATTTTCCTGAGATGCACACGAAAATTAAAGTTATATAGCTGGGAACAAGGAATAATTACAATGAACTTATAAAAGGTCAGCTCAAATCTGAACTCTGAGGTATAGTTCACGTACAGGTTAAATTAATTACTTTGATATACCATATATTAGATTGGAAGTACATGTATATGATTAAGGAAGATTAAACCCACTTTGGATTTCTTGTTAATTAAGTTAAATATCTGCCTTATTTGGCTAACAAGCTAAACTCAATTAAATGTAAATCATAGCCTTACAAAAAATTAATCTCCTTCCAATTTTGTTTTAGCATTAATCGTACATGATTTTCCAGTTTAGTTCTATACTTCAAATTCACCATGAGAGCTAATTATCAGCCAATCATGTAAAGAAACACGAGAAATGACATTAAATAAGAGTCAGGTTTTCTTGTAGAAAATTTGCCAAATAATCAATCTAATACATATAAGTACATTCAGAGTGAGTACTTTTTGTTTTTTTAAGAATCAGGCAGATCGAGGCACTGTAAGATTAGTCTACAAGATTTGGCGGAAAAAACCATCCTTTTCAGTTTTCTCTCAGATGAACAGATCAATTAACAAATTTTTCAAAACTTGATAAAATTATTTTCCTAAATTTTTCCATATGTATTAAAGAAAATAAAGTTCATTCAAAATAAAATAAATAAGTTCCAAAAAAAAATAATTATCTTAAAGACACACAAGATTTAAAATAAACAATAAACAAAATTCAAAGTTAGATCTGACCAATAACTTTTCTAGAATTCATCAAGAGAAATAGGAAGTCAGAATCTGCCGAGATCTTCACTAAAACTGAAAACAAAACAACCTACCAAAATCTTAAAAATAGAAACCAAAAAAGGGTCAACCTACTGAAATCTTACTGATAGAAACCAAAATTGGGTCAACTTACTGAAATCTTACTGTCAGTAAACCAAAACTAAGTCAATCTACTGAAATCTAGCGGCAGTGACCCAGAACTGGGTCATCCAACTGAATCTTAGCGATAGTAAAGGGAAACTGGCCCAACCTACTAAAATCTTACTGACAGTCAACCAAAACTGGGTCAACCAAAACCGGGCCAACCTACTGAAATCTTACTGACAGTCCATCAAAACTGGGTCAACCAAAACCGAGCAAACCTACTGAAATCTTACTAACAGTCAACCAAAACTGGGTCAACCAAAAACCAAGCCATCCTACTGAAATCTTACCTGCAGTGAAATGAAATTGGGCCAGCCTACTAACCGAAACTAGTCCAGCCTTACTTAAAGCTTACCAGCTGTAAATAAAATCTGGCCAATCTTACTGAACATAATCTTACCTGCAGTGAACCAAAACTGGTCCAGTAGCTGTCAACATGAAGTCATGGACTCTACGTCTACAATCCAACACAAATCCGGCATCCGTCCCCTCATCATTAAATCCAATCATCTCAAAATGCTTGACAATTCTCTGAGTGGAGGCACCTTCCTAGTGTAGAATGAAGATATACTAAGGTAAATAATAATCCAGTGAAGTTGTGAACAGAAATGTAGTATAGCAAAAACCAATACTGCAGATTTCTTAATATACATGTGAAATTATTAAATTATCACATAATTTCGAGAGAAACATCATTCGCAAAATAAAATTACTCGGTACTTGCTTTCATTTTTTGGTGGTGAAATCTATGTAAATTAAATCTCTTGATCAACCGTACATTTGCAAAATTTTATTCGAGAGACTAGCAATTTGCCATTGAAGAGCACTTTTATGATAATAATTTAAGTACTTGTGAAAATAAGGAATCTACAGTATTCTGCCTACCCTTTGGATGCGTATGGTGCGGATTGTAAGCTGTGAGATCTCCATCGTAGACTCCAGCCAGATGTGGATGTTTCCATGTTTGACGTATTTGTGCATGCTGAAGACATCACCCCAATACTTGTCACATTGTTGCTGTTTGAATAACGAAGAAAAAAAATCAGAAACAGTAATATGCACTGTCACTTTGGAAAATAAACCCTTTATTTTTCTTATAAGAAATAAATTATTTTATCTTCAGTGGTAAAAATGAATGCTCTAGTATTACAATTGACAGCTTACATTGGCATTTTCAAAGAGACCTGTTGCCATGACAATACAGTGAACCCCTTCCTGCCACACCATGTTCCAGAAAGAGGGTACTGTCTTCTGTTTAGGTCCTGAAATGTAAAATGAAAGAGAAAATTATTGCTTAGAATGCTTTGCATGGGAATTGTTTCATTTCTCCAACATTTTATATATAAATGACTGCTTCCTTATAATCTAATTCTCATAATATTTTAATTCAAACAATCAAACAAACACATATGTCAAATGGAAAAGGAGGAATGAATCAAACTTACATTGAAAATCCATATTTAAAGAAAATGTATGGCTCAGGATCAGGGATTGATGAAAAGGAAATGGGGATTTACTAAAAGACTTACATATCTAGCTTTGAATCAGCATTTGGAAAGTTTTGTTTTAATCTGTTCAGAGAGAGGTTTGTATAGAAAATTGGAGAATTTTCTCCTTTTGTTAAAATATTGGATATTTCTGGATTATTCCCTTTAAGTTTTCCAATGAGTATAACAAAATAATCAATTAAAATCAAGAGGAAACATATGTGATGATCCCTCCTAATTCATTACTGCAATCTACATGGAATTTTACTAAAATAAATCTAAAATTCCTTTACAAACTACACACGCAGGTACACTTTTTCTACATCAGAATATAATCTTCTTGAAAGTCACTCAGAATCTTTTTAAATTTTACAGGTACTTCTGTACTTAATCAAAGGAAAACGAAATCTGTTTCCTAGTCTGGTTCGGAAAAGGAAAACCTTTTTACGGAAACTATTAGCATTGTCTGCAGCAGGTGCCCTGGGGCCCCTAATCTCAGCTGATAATGAACATGACAGAACAATTATCTAATCTCCAGTCTAAAATTCCTACAGGCTACCAGACAACTCTATCTCAAACAACAACTGCCTCAATAGAAAGCAGCTGGATGTAGACTGCCAAACAGTGAGGAATGGCTTCCTGGGATCCCGATAGGATTGGTCGAGTGACAGATCTAGAGGCATGGTCCTTACCTTGCGTGGCTATGTACTCTTTATCCTGACAGTAACCCTGGGAAACAAAAGACAAAAAAGACGTAAAATACAGTTATTACAATCAGCATGCATAGTAATCTCACATGATGGACCAGCTAGTGTTTACAATCTGATCATGAGGATATCTGAGGGGAGTGGTTATATATAATTCAAAATCTACATTATTTTGATGAAACGAGAGCAGATTTTTTCTTTGGTCTCATATTTATTTACTTAAAAAAAATATGATTTTAGTTTTTCACAATTCTGTATATTGATAAATAAAGATATTTTAAAATTTTAGCTGCAGGCCAATCCAGGATTTTGCATTAGAGGGGGTGATGTTAGATGTTGAGGGCCTGGGGACTGGATCCCTCTATACCAAGTGGGAACCTGAGTCATGTGAATCAGCAATTAAAAAAGCTTATTCAAACTCATTATAGGATTGCAATTCTACACATTTCATCCATATAGGACAGTGAGAACATAAACTTGAAACTTTGGTTTTGGATAAATGTTTTCTTGAAGTTAGACAAGGTCCTACATTAAACTATAATAAATTAGTAATGGGCATCCCAAGGTGAAACATTTTTTGCAATTCTGATCTGAAAGAGCTTGTACTTACTTGTGAATAAACTTACTCAAAAATTTCAAACTAATCACTTATCCAGAAAAAGTGATTCAAATCCAGCATCTGATGCAAGTTTGGGAGTCAGTTCATCCCTTGATGCATCAACCATACAAATTTGGTTCAGATAGGCCTTATGGAGATGGCAATGAATATGGCAAGTGTTAAGAAAACCAGCCAACAACATCACAAAAGTAGCTGTTGGATGAACACCAGAAGGGAAGAGGAAATCTGGTTGGCCAAAGACCAAATGAGGAACCACAGACTAAGTTGGGGAGAACTGGAGAGAAATGCTCAAGATAGAGAGAAGTGGAGAAGTCTAGTCCTTGCCCTGTGCACCTCCTTCATCTCTGACTAATGTAGGGCAAAGAAGTAAAAAGGAAACTTGAACCTGGGATGCCAAAACCAACTGTATCACATAAGCTCCACCCAACTTCATTGAGATGAGCTAAAAGGACCATACAAACTTCTAGTCAAACATGAATTTACTATGTATAGTAATACCTAAAGCGGGTTTTCTTGGCGGGTGTAGAATTTGGCGTTTTGCCTGCTGCAAGGTATGCCAATAATTTTGGCGTAATTTATTTTAGCGGACACAGGGTTTCATTTCTTTGCAGATGAACACTAAGAAGAGAACTGACTATTATAATTAGTGATTAAAATTTTAGCGGGCTGCCATCAAAACGCCAAAATTAGCACCCCGCTAAAATAACCTGCTATACAGTGCTCTGTAAAATTATGAGGTTATACGGGCTATATATATCAATTAATGTACATGTTACACTACTTCTAGCAATAAACTATGATTGTGTACATTGATGTGGCAAACTAGTAATAATCTACAAAAATGTCTGGGGTAGATGATATATGTCCATAGAAATACCCTATAATATTAAGATGTGAGGTGTACATACATCAATGTAGCTTGCGTTTACATAGTCAGAACAGCCTTCTTCCTCAGGAATATCATGGAGAATCACTCGGGAATAATCATCTAAGAAAAAAGTCATTGACTCCAGATCAAAATTAGCTGTAGAAATTTCATGCTATTAATTGAATTCTAAAAAGAGAGACATTTTCTTCTGTTTTTTGAGCGTAGGTGGCATATGATTGAGAGAATTTAATTATTATTTCTTTTTTGCAAAATTATTTTCAGTCTAATATTAGCAAAATGTAACAAAAATACTTTTTAACCTATATATTGGGCTATTTTGTCTTCTCACTTACATGTAATGACGTCTTGGTTGACGTTTAACAGAATGTTTTCTGGTGTCATGGCAACTGTATTAGGGAATTCATCCTGGTTCCTCACGATGGCCTGAAATACACAAAGGACATGCGCTTATTATAAAGATATTATATGTTTGTGATTTAATTATACATGTAATCCTTTGCCCTGATCATTCAGTTATTCCTGCGAAATCACTATTTTTCATGTAAGATTATTTTTCTTTGTTTTCAGAGCATTAAGAGAACCAGGAAGTTATGTTATATATATTATATTATGACGGACGACGACGGACGAAAACAGATAGCAACAGGTCACCTGAGTTTACTCAGGTGACCTAATAAAATATGTGATTTTACTTTTTGTCTTAATTCAAATTCAATGTTGCAAGTCAATCTTTCAAAATCATCAACCAAAATTTAAAATCACGACAATTTATAAATGTAGGTAATTTTATACTGGATATTTTTTTCTGAGCAAAGTTGGGAAATTTCAGAAATGCTTTACTGAGGAGAACAACTCCTCTACAGATGAGCTGGTGAGAAGCAATATAACAGTTCAAAATCTTGGCCGATTTACTTAAAACATAAATTTTTATTTCCAAATGAAATAACATCTGTGAAGTGAAATTTTTTTTCAAAACTTTGAAAGCATCAACTGTATTTTTCAAATCTTAAAGTGACATTTAGAACTCTGATGGAAGAATAACTTTCTCTGAGAGAAATGATCTAATTACAGCAATCTGAAGAAAATGCAGAATGAAGAATTATCGCCTTGACATAGAGGCTTGGATCCTAAAATGTGTTTGCTGGATTCCATGAGGGAAGATGGATGATGGTGAGCTAAAGTTGGAGGTGCTAATGGAAGCAATGGAGGTGACAGCCCAGTCATGAATTTCTAGATCTGAGAGCACGCAGAGAAGTGTGATGTATGTTGCCCTTACAGATCAGACACTCATATAGAGCTCCCAGACCTTTAACACAACCAGAACAAACACTCAATCTTATAATTACTAATATTGAATTAAACGGTATCGATCGTGATCCCCATTGGGTCCAATGGCTGAACGCCAAAGTGGTTTGTCTTGCATCGAGTGTTCATAATTTGCCACAGAGTGAACAGAATTTAAGGAATTAGGTAGGATTATTTAAATGATAGATCAATAATAAAGATAAATCTAAACCAACTAAAATTATTTTATGACTGTCTTGACTTAAAGCTGCTGGGTGCTCAGTGACTCCTGGACAACTTCGTATCAGGTCACAGAGAAATCTGTAGAGTGAAAACTAGAGAACTTCTTAAAGTTTTTAAAATTAATCTTTAACGAAATTAATTCTCTGTCCTAGCTTGAGACATTGCTTGGATTATAAAAGCTATAGTGACCCAAACACATATTTCACAGCATCGGTTATTTCCTTGCAGGGAAGATTAGGTCAATGGGTCAACATTATGTCAAACTTCCTCAGAGAATAGCACATAGGCTCTTTGGAAAATTGGGTATGTTCAATATTTTTAGAAAATATGAAAATTATGAAAATGAATACTGTAGACGTACTTTTTTCCACGGGGTCATAATTCCGCGGAATCTCAATTTCTGTTTAATCCACAGGTAGAAAATTACGCGGATATTCTAGATTATCACTATATGCCTTACATTTATATTAAGTACGCTTGGACAAATTTCCGCGGAAAATTTGTGACCGCGTACATAGCGTAAATTAATACCACGCGGAAAAAAGTGCTTCTACAGTATATATGAAAATATTTTTACATTTTTTCAAAGAAAAAATAATAAATTTCACTTTATAATTTTTAGGGGCCAAAAATAGCTAGAGAAAATCACGAAATTCACAAAAAGTTACACAAACAAGAGATGATGCATGTGAAGTTGCCTCACTGGAGAGCAATAAAGTCTGGTTAATAATGAAGTAACAATTCCCATACGGAAAAGTTTTTTAACAAACTACTATCAAACCATCAACAAACTACCAACAAACTATATTTTAGTGGTTTGTTTAAGTAGTTTGATAGTATAGCATTTAATGAAACACAAACAAACCACTGTTTCTAAAAATAAGTAAAGTGGTTTGTTATCTTTCATTTCTGCTGATTGTGATTTCTTTATAGTTTGTTAGACTTGGTATCTTGCAACAGTGTTTTATTAGTATAGCATTTGCATCTAACCACATGGGAAATTAATTTACAGACATGTTTAGGGTTGAATTATCTAGAATTGTTGAAGTTTCCAAGAACAGCTTAATCTTTACATCCGGTGTTGGCTATTAATGCGCCAATTTTCAAACCACCAAGCAGGTCAGAAACAAAGGAACTGGTGAAGGGACATTCAAATTGTTAGTAATATTCGTTCTATAAGATTCCTGACTGGAAAAAGCAGCAATTAGCATTATTAAAAGATGGATCTGGAAACAGAAGAGGTATTTAATGCATGTCATGAAGTTCCTTTTTACCTAAAGGCTGGACTACAGTAACCTTCTGTGAATGTGGATGTGTATGCTTTTTACTAGCTTTTGGTTATTATTCATTTTCAGATTGACATTATTTCCTAGATCAGTTATGCATTAGATTATGGGAAGTATATTACTTGAAAATAAGACAAAAAAAGATGTCTTTCAAAGTTGCAATAAGGCCAGAAAAAAGGAAATATTGCGGCATTTTCCATGCCAGATGAAGCAGTGGATCGATATTTATATGTCAGCTTGAAGAACATTTTTTTGGTGAAAAATACTATGAAGAAGAATATGAAGGAGAATATATGTGATAAGTACATGGACATTGACTTGGAATGGCATCTCCTAAACAAAAGGGAACATGTTGGAATGTTGCACTTGCATTGGCTGAACTTGTGAATCCTGGAATTTAAAATACTCTGAAACAAGACTTGTTGAACATGTTGAATGCCTCAAAATGTGACTGTTTAGGTGTTTTCAAAGACCTGTAGATTTTTAATGGAAATTTTCAAATCTAGTGTTTTGCTGATGGATTTGTTACCAGTGATTTGATAGTAGTTAATTTGTTAGAGTGGTTTGATAGTAGTTTGTTTGTGTGGTTTGATAGTAGTTTGTTAGAATGGTTTGATAGTAGTTTGTTAGAGTGGTTTGATAGTAGTTTGTTAGAGTGGTTTGATAGTAGTTTGTTAAGAGTGGTTTGATAGTAGTTTGTTAGAGTATAGTTTGTTAGCTCATTTGCATGTGATTTGCTATACTATTAAACTACTTTCAAACCATAGTGGTTTGTTAGTAATTTGTTATAGTAGTTTGTTTGCCCTTTTTTTCCGTATGGGTTCCTCTCAATGAAGGCTACAAAGTACTGTGACAAAAACCATTTCAATCATCCATTTTCTACCATTTACAATCATTACTTCACAATCAACGAAGAAACAAACTCCCGAGTGGCAAATTTGAAATAAAATGGAATACTAATGCTCATAAAACAATTATTTTATTATAAGGAATATCATAAATGTTACAAGACTTCCTATGCCCGGCATCGTGTGGTGTTATTAATGTCCATTTTCTAACATTCCAATAACGTGAGCTTTTAGATGCTTTGAATATTTCCTCCCTAATTACTTTACCAGGGTTTCATCAAATTACATTGTGTGCTGAAAATCAGTTTAAAAATGAAGTGACATGCAATCTACAGAACAGATGATTATTTTATTGTTTTCTTGCAGTAGAGGTGCTAGTATAAATTATTCCAGAGGTTACCGTACCAATCAATCACAAATAGAACAAAAAGGGAGCCCAAACAAACCTCCAATGCTGCTCTGTTTCCTTTGATTGTTTCACGGTAACACAATTGAGCTTCCCTAAACATGTCAGCAAAGAACCCCAAGCACACCAAAATTGAAAAAAAAAATCTCATTTTCAGAAGAACACTTACTTTCATTAATCTTTTTAAAATCAATTCAAACAGATATTAAATTTCACACTGCACAATTTTTTCAGACAAAACATTGTGCAATAAAATAAAATAAAAATAATAATTAACTTAGAAAACTTGTCTTCTTCTAGATCTATTTCATAAGACACAAGAATTCATTTAATTATTCAAGATTTTACATCTTTTCTTTCACTTTTCTCATTTATTTTAAATTTATTGTTTTCGTATTCACTGACAAGAAAAATTGCATTTAGGCCATATTAAATTAATCTTTAGATTCTCATCCCCGCCCCTCTCAAAATGTCCCGCCCCGATGTTTTTTATTTTGATTTTTGGGTATTTTCATGTATTTTTATTCAGTAAGAATTTGGGTCAAAGTTTAAGAGTTATCTCCCGTCTGTATTAAAAGTCGCGTGTCGCTATTTATAGCAAAAACGCCATGTGAAGAATGGAAAAAAATCGGCAATAAAAGCAGTTTAAATGTGTAAGGAAAAGATAATTTGTCAGTATAGAGAAGGCAGAGAAGAAAAAATAGCATAAACACATAGATACCATCACTGGCAGGAGCAAGTACGAGGGTTGTCCCGTAAAATCGTGGACAAGTTGTCTAGTTTGAAAAATAATCATCTATGCGTTCTGAAATTTTCACTACTCTTTAGTACATATATTATGAATATACAGACCAAATTTCAAATAGATATATGCATAAATAAACATATTATTAGATGTTATGTCATGTATTGTATCGCCGTACGGCGCACGGATAATAATGTCAAAGTGTCTAAAACAGCGTCATGTTTCATCTTTGCTAAAATAAAGTTGGATAAGTCCCATTTAAATTTAAAAATTCCATTGATTCACATACGTGAGTGTCTATAACCAGATAAGGAACCCATCTGGCACATACATGCAATCTTTTGAAAAATCATATAGCAAGTTTTGGACTGTATTCTCACCAGCATTCAAATAACAGAGAATCTCATATCAACGGTTGACAATGACAGCGTCTTTTGCTATTACAATAGCAGTTTGTCCGTATATATTTTGTACTACCTGAGGACTCAATCAAAAAGAATTTGCTTAGATAACTTCAATTTCATTTATATTCTAAAGATCTGGTGATTTTTGTCATATTTTCTTTCTTCGACTTCTGTATTCATTTAAAGTCTCTTAAGGTGTCATTACAA